TGTGTCTGGAGTATTTTGGAAAGCAAGGTTGGCACTAAAAAATACCAAAGTGTTGATCACCTCAAGCAAGCGCTTCGGCGGGAATGGGCCAAATTACCGCAGAGTAACATTCGGGCAGCATGGCAGCAAGGTTTGTGTCAAAAATTTGTGCCAAAGGTGACCAAATGTAAACTTATTCCAAAACTTGATGCTATTTCCGACATTTTTTGCTTTCATTAAAAAAAAAAAAAATGTTAAAATTATGGCGTTTGATTTTGTTGGAGTTCTTTTATCTCACCCTGTGCGGTGCTCTTCGATATGTGTGGCCAAGTTTGGTTTTTCATTTATGCAAGTACTCGTATTATGTGGTTACAAGAAATTGATATTGGATTCGAAATAAGAATTTATAGCACCATTTACATTTGAGTAATCGAAGTAAAATGTGTTCAAAAATTGTTTTTGGTATTGTGGATTTTATGGGCTGTTAAAAATAAAAAAATAATTCGCAATATGTGTTGTATCCTCATCGTTTATAATTCATAAGCAAACGATTTTCTGATTGGGAATAAACATGTGCTCGAAGTATGAATATTCAGATGAAATATATTTCAGTTCGTATTTCTTTTCAATTTAACATTTCTAATGAGAATGGATACAAAACCACCACAATCCACAATGTGTTGACGTTTTGAAATTTAGCCTACGGCTAGGTCTCCTAGCAACCAGTCCATAACTTTGAATCTCGAATAGCACTCAAAGTTACAAAAAAAGATATTTGTGGCAAAAAATAAAATACCCATGGAGTCAAAATAACTATGTACCGTATACAAAATACTTCTTAGCATCAGCCAATATTTCCATCTTCTTCTTCTTTTTTGGCACATCATAGCCAATTGTTATCCTTTTGTATCCATCACAATATGATTCACAACAAAGTTTCGACTATAATTGTATTCGAATCGTATTATTGTCTGCATATTTATGAAATAAACAACCATCTTTTTGTATTCCGTCAACAATGTTGGCCTTGCTGTTGTTGTGGTAGATCCAAGAAATTCCCAAACAATATCTTGGAGTTTTATTTTTATTTTTACAATGCGAATCGCCTAAGGCAAGCTGTCCACAAAAAAGAAGAAAAATATAGCTTACTCAAAAATTATTAGTCAAACTTTGGAATACATTTGCATTTACAATAATTTCAAAACAAGTGTGCTATATAATTTTATATACAAGAAAACAACTTGTAGCGAAAATATATATGTCTGTATAGAAATAGCTCTCGTTTCGAACGGTATTTGATGAAAAAGGCAAATAAACAAAGCAACAGAAAGTATTTTTATTTCAAACAATAAATCAAATATTCACAAAGAATTGTTTGAAAGTTCTCGGGGGCAATTGCCGCCACTGCTGCATCAAAGTTTAAGGTCTTTGGTGAGATTCTCTTTCTCACTCTTTCTTCCAATTTTTGGAACAATAATTGATCATTAAGTACTTAATAAAATTGTCAAATAAAAAATTATATATATTTTCCTATTCAAAATTGTTGTCTATATCCAAAGAAAATGTTGGAATGACATTTATGTAGATTGCCAAATATTTTACATTAGCAAATATCAGAGAAAATGAAAATGTGATGATATTCTTTGCAATATTTTGTAAAGATGACGTATGAGCAAGGCAAGAAGTGAGTGTGATTCTCATTCACTTCTGAATGCTCGGCACTTATAGAGCTTGCTTTTCACCAAAGTCGTCATATCAAAAAGCTGAAAAAATCAAATGACCATTCTCTTCGCCGAGATGAAATCATGATGTTGGTATTGGAAAGCTGTCAGTTTCGTTTTGAAAAATATTGTTCACCCTAGTACACCACAATGCGTATTAAGTAGAGCTCCCGTAAAAATAGTTTATATTGGGAATTTATATGACGTAGATCAATCAACTCTGATCCACATTTTACTGGGTATCGGGGCTTTAGAGTTTAAATCGATTTTCAACAAATTTGACGGAGGCTTTTGTACCTCTAGGACCAAACAACATTGCTGTATAGTGCATGATATGACTTCGATAGGGATTATATAAAAAAATATTTATTCATCAAACGGTAAAATTCGGTTTTATATGAAAAAATCTATTCAATTTGGGCTGATATTACATATATGATGGACAATAACCTTAAAATCGGATGAAGATGTATATCGAGGCTATATAAAAATCTTAACCGATCTCGATAAAATTTGGCAGAGGCATTTTCGAGCAGTATCTAATGCCCGATATCAAACATCATTGTTGTGGAGTGCATATTACACATGTGAGGTATATTGACACCAAATCGTATTAAAAATATATATGGGAGCTACAGCTTAATCTGAATCGACTTGCATCAAAACTGGATGCACTTTATTTTGGGCTGAATTCCGTCGGAAATGCCAAAATTCAGTGCACTTAGGCTGATACTAGCCATTTGGTGCACAATAAACATGAAATCGGATAAAGATATACAGGGTGAGATAAAAAAACTGCAAAAAAGTCAAACACCATAATTTTTACATTTGTTTTAAATTGTATTCAATGAAAGCAAAAAATGTCGGAAATAACGTCAAATTTTAGAATAAGTTTAGATTTGTTCAAATTGGTCACCGTTTGCACGAATTTAGCCTTCAAACGGTTAATGAAACCGTCACACTCTGTCCGAATGTTGCTCTGCGGTATTTTGGTTCATTTTCGACGAAGCGCTTGCTTGATGTGATCGACACTTTACTATTTTATAGTGCCAGAATATTTTCGCGATTAATACGAGAATTTCGTCGATTAATACGAGCGGAGAGCAACCATCGGTTGTTATAGCGGTCCACACCATCACCATGGCCGGCGCTTGAGTTCTGGTGGCCAACCGATGGTGCACATTTTCAGCTGACCACTTCGACAAGTAAACACGATCATTTTGGTGGTTTACAAATAGCTGGACAACGAATGTTTCTCATCGGAAAAAACCAAATTCGGCATTTAGACCTTTCGAGTCTATTTTCTTTCTGCTGCGGTGTAAGTTCTTACTCTTCTTGGAATTTCAATGACTTTACTTACTCCGAGCTCATTTTTCAATATTTGCCGAATGGAATATTGCGATATGTTCAGTTCACGATCCAGTTTTCAGCCACTGTGACACAGGTTTCGATCAAGTCGCTTCTCTACTTGTCGAACCATTCCTGCTTATGTTGATGTTTTCTTCCGTACACTTCCTTGACGTCGGGCTACGCCACCAGTATCAGGGCGACGAGCGATGGTACGAGACACAAAAGATTTATTCACATTTAAATGCTGGAGTGCTCTAACGATAGCCATTTGTGGTTTTTCAGCCAAATATAAAGAAATCACACTACCACGCTTGAATTCCATCACGAATAACTTTTTTCTGGAAAATCCTCACTAAAAAGCTTTTGTACGCTTGTAAACAGTATAATGATACTTCAACTCATTATATTGTTTACAAGCGTGTTTCTAGGATGAGTTCTGTCGGAATTGCCAATATTCAGTTAATTCCTGATATCGAATGAAAATATATATAGGAGCTTTACCCTAATCTGATCCGATCTTGATAAAATTTAACAGATGTATTTTTGAGCTCCATCAGTTATTTGGTATAAAATATCATTCTTGTGGAGTTCATAGTACGCAGGTGTGTAAAACCCCAAATCGGATGAAACCTTTACTTATGAGCTATAGCTATATCTTTGCCGTTTTTCACCAATGTGAAGTCGAAATTGCCAAAATACTGGTCTTTTGGGCTGATATTGGTCATTTGTTGCACAATTAACCCAAAATCGGTTGAAGATATATGAATGGGAGCTATACCTAAATTTGAACATATTTTCACCAATTTCAATAGGATTCGTACTTGGGCCAAACAAATATTATTTGGAAAACTTAATTTCAATCGGACAATAATTTTGTTCACAAGAATACATTGACGGACGGCGGACGGACTGCCATGCATAAATCGACCCAGAAAGTGAATCCATGAAGATCCTCAAAAGTAACTTTGGGTCCATCTCGCTTTCTTCTCCATTCACAAACAATTGCACAAAGACATAGTACCCTTAGCATTATGTGGAGTATGGTATAACAAACACAAACAAATGAAATAAGAATTTATGCTTCTACTCTAATTTCCCGCTAATTTCTACATTTTCACAGCAACATTATCCCTTATTAACCATTTGCATATCGCACCCACATTAATTCCCTTCAGTATCACATACACTTCCACTTAAAGTTAACAAAAAACCAACGGACAAGTTTCCATTATCATCGTGGAATCAATGATGCTCATCAGTCGTATCTCAAGTACACCTCATTAGAGTTCAGGTTAGCGGAGAATGAGATTAGTTCGCCTTGATATTCATTTGCAACACCAAAGGTCAGAGCAAGTTATGTGCATTAGTTAACATTTATTGGCTTAATTACATTCCGATACCTCGGGTCCGAAGTTGTGTAGTTGTTGGCCTCTGCATACCATCGATGGATACACCGTCATGTATCCTTTATCCTTTTGTTTGGCCCCAAACCAGCAAAGGAAACAGCATGCAATCTTCCATGCCCGTCCAATGACGAGGCCAGACATGTTTGAAATGAGAGTGAACGACGAAGAAGGAGAACAAAAACAAAACCAACTAAATATCAGCTAGCCAGAATATCATAACATCATTTTGACTGATTAACGAGCTGTTTTATGTGTTCGGACAAGCACAAATGAGCAGTGAAACGACAGAGGAATGAGTTGTAGACACTGATGGCTGTGTGTATGTATAGATGTACATGTACGTGTGTATGGTTTAGAGGGTAAATGTGAATGCCTGTCAAGGTTCAAGGCATTTGTTGGTTTTTTATATTCCCGTCAACAAAAAGAGTAATTTCTCACATTACCAGCAACAACAGCAAGTGTTCTGCATTTAAAAATCCAACTGCAATAAATAACAAAAACGTGTGCTTCATTTTCTTGTGTTGTTCTTTTTGTTCTTTTGCAGGTTATTACCCCCACTCGTTCGCTTGTATTGTGTGCCGAATCCAGACGCGAAATGGAGGATTGGTTAGGCTCCCTTAAATCGGCCTCCATACCGCCTCGCTCACGTGGCGACAGCTTTTTCATCGAACAGCACGACATCTTTGCCAATCACCATCACTGGTACGCCACGTCACACGCACGACCCACTTACTGCAATGTCTGCCGCGATGCCTTGTCCGGAGTCACGTCGCATGGCCTGTCGTGCGAGGTGTGCAAATGTAAGGTGCACAAGCGGTGCGCCGCCAAAGCTATTGCCAACTGCAAATGGACCACCTTGGCCACGGTGGGCAAGGACATCATAGAAGACCAGAATGGCAGCATTGTTATGCCCCATCAGTGGATGGAAGGCAATCTGCCGGTATCGGCCACCTGTGCCGTCTGCAAGAAAACCTGTGGCTCAGTGTTGCGGCTGCAGGATTGGCGCTGCCTGTGGTGCCGAACAACGGTGCATGTGGCATGTCGACCTCATGTAGCCATCGCATGTCCTTTGGGACCGGCCAAATTGTCGGTGGTACCTCCCACTTGTGTGCATTCCATTGGCAATGATGACTCGTGGGATGTTGCCAGTCCCAAGGGCAACTTTTCTCCTCTGCTGGTATTTGTCAACTCCAAATCGGGAGACAATCAAGGCGTGAAATTCTTAAGGAGATTTAAGCAGCTTTTAAATCCGGCTCAAGTATTCGATTTGATATCGACTGGACCGGGATTGGGTTTGAGGCTGTTTCGGCATTTTGAGATGTTTCGTATATTGGTGTGTTCCGGAGATGGTTCAGTTGGATGGGTGCTCAGCGAAATTGATCGCTTCAATATGCATGTAAGTTCCAGAGAGTAATAAATTTCGAAGTTCATAAATAATTTTATATTTCTTCCTCCCTCCATTCTCCAGAAACAATGTCAAGTTGCTGTGTTGCCCCTTGGCACGGGAAATGATTTAGCCCGCGTTCTTGGCTGGGGTTCCTCATGTGACGACGATGCCCATTTGCCTCAGATATTGGAACGTTACGAGACGGCCAGTACCAAAATGTTGGATCGTTGGAGTATTATGGTCTTCGAAAAGGCCATTGCAGTTCAACCGAAAATGCCTAAAATGTCCTTATCATCGGAACAGGAAGCCTTGTTGACCGGCATGATTACCTCGGCTAATGAAAATCTCCGTTCTATTGTCGAAACTGATGATTTACCCACACTGATGTCGGCCACAAAAACTCTCTGCGAAACAATCGATGATCTCTTGGAGAGAATGTGTGAAAATCGCAAAGAGGACGATCAGCTAACTGTGAAATGTGACATTCTAAGGCAAAAGGTCAACATGCTATTGGATGCCTTGAAGGAGGAAGAGAATGGCTCACACAGCGGTGATGAGTTCTTGGCCACCATTAATAATATTATAGCCAAATCGGCACCTAATTCACCCATCCTATCAGCATCTTCATCTAATTTACTGTAAGTGATCAATAGAGGAGGAATGAGGAAAGAAGGGATAGGTAGTTGAGAGCTAAATAGATTCTTAGATTTTTCGTCTTTTGACTTATACGAAAAGCCCTCTTTAGATCTCTGTTATCATAAAAATCGATTTTTGACATCCCAAAGTCGACTAAATTTCGATTTTGTATAGCTTTTCAAACAAAAGATTGGATTTTATAGTTGTCAATATTGAAGGTGTGGAAAATTAAAACAAAAAAGTCATAACTGTTGTATACTTGTTGGCTCCTATTAAAAATATAATCGGAAGGCAAACTACGTATCCCTAGTGCTAAATTTCCGTTTCGAAATTTCTCTTAATTCTATAGAACTTGTGGGGTTTTAATTTCACTTTTCATAAATTTCTTCCTCGAATATAATGACTTCGACCAACCGAATTTTGTTGCTCAGTTCTACCAAATATTTCGAAACGGAAAGTTGGCTCGACTTTTCATAATTCCCCCTCCAAATTCCTCCAAACAATTCCATGATTTATTTTCTTTTTTGCAGAAATCCTAACATATCAATGGAAAAGAATGAAAAGGATCAATTAAATTTAAAAGAGCGGCGCAACAGTCGCTCCCTGCGCGGCAGTGAACGTGAGGCACTGCAAAGTCGTGCCAACAGTGTCAAGCGGGCCATGTACAATGTCGTCGAACATTCGGAGCCGGGACGACCAAAACGTTATCAGCGCCGTTTGTCGGTAACGCCATTTGAAGCTTTGAAAATACCAACCACCACCTCCAGTGATTCAACACCCTGCACCTCACCCTTGCCCATTATACCACCCATTAATGTTATATCGCCCACCATGGAATCGTCACGTCTCACTTGCATATCACCATTACCGGATACCAGACGTGAGTCCATGGATGAGCATTTCTTCAATACGATTAGTTTGCCGGTGCCTCGGCAATTTGCCGACAGTCGCCGCAGCTCTGGTGTACCAGAAGTCATAGAGGAACAGGAGGAGAATACCAACGGTGAGATAACGTATCGTAGGACCCGACTCTCTCTGAGTGGAGGTGCAAATATTGACGATGCTGGTAATCGTCTATCGCCTGGCAGCGAAGGGGCTTCCACTCCCGGTGAGCGGAACTTCCTAACGGTACCAATTCTAACTAACGAACACATGGTCGATCCCCTATCCGAATTTCGGCCCATCGAGGTATTCGAACGCAACTATTACATGAGCAAACAGCTGCACAAGGACAAGGAAACTGAGCAGCCAAGTGATAAGGTAGCCGGCGAGGCCTTGGTGCACACGTGCGATCTCCAGGTACCCAGCATTGTAGTATCCCAAAAAGATGCTTGTAATGTCTATACAAGCGATAACATAACAATAATCGATACAGATGGGAATACCGTATGTTTCCCAGAGATCTCCGAAAATATTTCGTTTGATTTTTCAAATGTCGTTTTTTTTTCTCCCCCTCTCTTTCTTGCATTTACTCCATTAGGAACAATCATCTGAGGAGGAATTCCAAGGAGAGCCAAGTGATGTTTTGTCGGCCATTAGCAATGAGGAATGCAGTGTGGCCTCCGAGATATTCGATGGAAAAGAACCAACCATACCGGGTTATCAGCTGGGAGATATTCTACAGGTAGGCGGTTTTCCGGTTAGGGACACATTTCAATTCGACATAAAAATGTTTGGTTTTTTAGAATCTTGACTCCAATGAGTTTACCCACATTGACTCGCCCGAAACAAGCGATGAAACTGAAAATATACCCGGTGAAAGCCTTATGGATGACATAAGTTCCGTGTTGGGTCATGACATAACCTATGCCCTGCAGGATAACACCATAACGGATGACACCACCCTAATGTGCTCGGAGAGATCAATGATACCACCACCCAAACCGGCAAGAGCCAAACAGGTTGCCGCAGATAACAAAGTTAATCCTTCACCACCACGCATGCCTAGCTTGGCCCGCATGGACAGCGATGACAATCCCCAACAATTTGGCTTTGAGAACATTGTTTTTGAAATCGACAATCGTTGTGATGATCAGAAGATTCGAGAACCGCCACGTTACTGCTCTCTGGCTCAGTTTGTGGAAGGCAGTGACATCGCAAGGCAAAGTTTTAAGGTAAGACGTAGTTTGGTGGTGTTAAGTTTTGGAAGTCATTCAATGGAAATAGAGGGGAAAAGGAAAGAAGGGTTCGAATTTATTGGTATACATATGTGCCTGCGAGCAACGTCGGGGCCAGGGGTTGGGAGGGAGCAGATCCTCCTTCGAAGTGGTGAATTTTTAGACTTTTCTTAGAAATTTGTTAAAGAAGAGCTGATATTTCTTTGGAACAGCACCAGGAATGATTTAAATATCCGCTTTTGGTTACATTACACGGTTATTCAGTATTAAATTTGCATACCCTACACCATTCTGTAGATGGTATATTAACTTTGTGATTCCGTTTGTAGCTTCTCAAAAATTCATTCAATTCAAAAAACAAATTCTGGATCAGCGTAAAATTCTAAAAAGTAGCGATGTCCGTCTGTCTATCCGCCTGCCTGTTGTAATCACCCTGATTAATGCGTGAAAAGGCACAGAGTAATATTTTCACCGGAAAATAACTGAAAGTGTCCTCAGTCTGCTCTGAAGAGTCGTCTCTACTCTTTTAAATATTAGAATTGTAAAAAGTAAATACTCACAGGTGATGGAATGCAGATAGTTCCTATTTCTTAGAAACATCTCTAAAATTTTGAATAAAATAAATCCCAGAGACCACTCCTATTTCCTCGCTTCAGAATGACAGCTACACCCCTTTTTGATATTACGATTTACGTAATTTATATCTTTTTCCTTTTTTGCCAATTTTCTTTTTCTTTTTCTGTTCGATTTCGATTTAACTTTCCTGTACTGCGTTCTGCGCAATTGCAACTTAAGCGACCCAAAAAGCGCTCTTCTCTTAAACAAAACAATAAAACCAACACTTCGAAACTTGTATCCCAACAGCAGCTATCGCTGGATGAGACCAACATAGCCATAACTACGGCTGCAGCTATCAACAACAACAGTGTCAATACCCTGACTACGACAAGCGGCCACCAGCAGTCCGAGGATGATTTGTCAACTGCCACAGCCATAAGGATTGAAGTGAGCGACACGACCACCGTCACCAGTACCTCCTGTCTGAAGACGTCCCCCAAGAAATCCATACCAGGACAAGATGTAAAGCGCATTACTTTTGATGACTCCTGTAAGAAAGAATCATTTGATGATGTTACTCCTCATCACCCACAGATAAGTGTTGTTGTCCGGCCACCCACCCCCCTGAGAGGAGATGCCATACGGCCCCTGAATCCCGATACTTGCAGCAGTCTGCTGGCTCTGCGTCTGCCCTCTGAGATACGAAGGCACTCGAGCCATGCCACGTCGTTGACGGTGCGTGAATTTGACAAGGACAAGGATCGCCGCCATTCGGGCTTCAATCCCAACTATTTGAGCTTGGATCCTGAACACAATCGTTTCCTTAACTCCTCGCCAGCCGCCAGTCGTAGGATCAGCTGTGGCAGTCTATTCAAGGTAAGTCTCAACTCCATTTGTCGGTTTGTTCTGGTCGTCGACGTCGTCGCTCTCCCACCATCATGCACATTCAAAACTAAAGGGATAAGTGCACGATTTTGGGTTGGGCCGACTCAGTTGAGAGACTCGCTCTCTCTTGTACTCGTGTCGGCCCACTTCCAAAAGGACGACTGAGTAACTCAGTAAGAACATGGGCCAACACTAAACCATACACACACCAACTAAGTAATCTCAGAGAGAGATGGCCTCCTCCTCTTGCCCCTTTAGTCGGGGCACTCACTGTATGTACGCCAAAGTTTAAACCAACAAATATTTTGAAAATCGCTTTTGACTTGCTTTGATTTGATTTAGCAAAAACAAAAAATAAAAATATTAACACAATTGGTATGTATTTCAAAATTGTTTGCTTTTTTACAACAACAAAAATATTTAAACTGGTTAATTTGTAAATATCAACATCAATACTCTTTTTCGAATATAATAATGTTATGTGTTGCCCTGGAGAAATGGCTAAATGGAGGTCACTGCCCACCCCTCCCAATGAGGGAGGGGGGCATTGACATCTATTGCGTGCAATTTCTTTGGCTGGCAAACATATATTTTCCTTTCCTATACACGCTCGCGCGCACTCGCACACACCACCAACTCTACACACTACGACACGTAAACGCACACTCTCACATATGTATCATGCTCTTGTGTGGCTCTCGACTGTCTGTTTGTAGAAGAAACGATCGAAGGGTATTTTGTCGGAACGTGTTTACGGCTTGCTGGGCTTAAGACTTTTTGTTGTGGCCGAACCAGATATTCGACTGGCCACACTGGCCCTAATCAGACCATTGATACAATTGGTAAGAAAATGCTATGCGCAAGCATCAGCAACACCAACCAGATCCAAGCTGTCCCCATCCAGCTCAAAGATTAGCCGACAGATAAATCCTTTGATTCCACAACCGCCGCCACCACTCACAACCTCCACCTTTACCACCAACAACCAAACTACCTATCATTATCACCATCACTCATTATCCAGGTTTGATTCATCAACGAAGCAACAAAGTATTATCCTGGCTTTTTGTAGCAAAATTATCTATCTGCAACTCTGCTCTCTAGCTGCTATCGTTTGTGATTTTCCTTCTAAAGTCCTTAACTTGTTCTATACTCAAAAAACAATCTCTTTATTCTACCGATCTGTACATACTCATGTTATACTCGTATCCTGCCAAATCTCAAGTAGTTAGTCAAAGTTCCTTGTCTAGAGTCTAGATTTAGAGACGACAAGTGAGGCAAGCTAATGGTGTTATTGTTGTTGTGGTTCTTTTAGCCCAATGAAGCCTTGCCCAATCTGCAAAATCTCAAGGGATCCAAGACCAGTCTATTCACCGGATCGAGTATTTTTGGATTTGATCACTTTGGTGCCACTCCGGAGAAGGAGGAAAAGGACAAAAAGGAAAAAGATAAAACACCTTCCGAGGAGAATCGCAAGCTGCCAATTATTAATCCAATTGTCAAGCTACCCAATTGGCCAAGTGAGTTTTTTTTCGATTGTTCGGATATTGACTTTAAAATAATATTGGATATTTCATTTAGATCTCACTGGAGGTGGCTCTGGTTTTATATCAAAATGTCTGCTTGCCAATGCCGATACACTTTGTGCTGCAGTCAGCCCTCTAATGGATCCGGATGAAACTCTTTTGGCTGGCTATCATGAAAAATGTGTGATGAACAATTATTTCGGTATTGGCATTGATGCCAAAATATCTTTGGACTTCCACAACAAGAGAGAGGAGCATCCTGAGAAATGTCGTTCTAGAGCCAAGAATTATATGTGGTACGGAGTGTTGGGTTCCAAGCAGCTATTGCAAAAAACCTGCAAAAATCTGGAGCAACGTGTGCAGCTGGAATGTGATGGCCAAAGGATACCCCTGCCTTCGCTGCAGGGTATTGTGATTTTGAATATACCGAGGTAAGTTTGATTTGGAAGTTGAGAATTGGGTTTCTTAATTTGTGAGAAAAAAAAATTTTTTTTTTTTTTGGTTTTGGACGTGGAGAGCTAAAAGAATGTAGAAAGTGTCAGACAGATTTTCTACCTAAAATTCAACAATAATTTATGTGAATTTACGATTCAAAAAAAAAAATCGGCTTTAGAAAGAAGCGGAAAATGTGGATCGATGGATGCCGAACCTTCAAATGACTAAACTGCAAAAAAATCAAATATTTAAAAATTTCAGATTTGCATCAAATTTCTTGGTACAAAATTCTTGAAAAATATACTAGCGTTTGTCAGGAAGTCCTCAAATATAATATTCCTAAAAAAGTGATAATTTTGGTCGTATAATAGAAATTGCTGGAATTTTTGTAACAAGCTAATTCTTGAAACATATAAGACCGAAATCTTCAAAAGTCTTCTTGAATGAAATGCATGAAAAATAATAATAATAATCGGGTATATTGCCAGTTTTACTCATGTTAAAAAAATATAGAGGGGAATGTAAAAAGTATTCGAACAGAAGGCCCTTGTAATTGTTTTCTTAAAAATCCGCAATGTTCGGCGAGGAGTCTTTGAGAAAATATCCGTATAGCTGGAAGTCCTCGAATAATATTCTTAATAATCTGCGATTTACAATTAACCGGGAAACCCTTCGTAAATTATTCTTAAAAGTCCAAGACTAGTATTCAGACGGAGAGGCAATATATATTAAAATATATCTAAAAAGAAAACCCACGATTTATATATCCATGACGTCTTGGAAAATATTTTTAAATCGTCCCTAACTCATATATAGCTGGGAAGTCTTAAAAGTGTGAAAGCTTCTCAGAAAACTTTAACAATTCTGAAAGTTTTGGTAGGAAAATTTAAAAATATCCCTATGACTTCAAGGACGTCCGCAATTCAGCAGGTTCATATTTCCCCTTATAATCTTTAGAATTAGAAATATGTTTTATTTCAAATCATATCGTTTTTAAAAAATAAAAAAAAAATGATCTTCTCTCCCTTTAGCTTCATGGGCGGCACTAACTTCTGGGGCAATTCGAAAAAGGATGACATATTCCTCGCCCCCAGTTTTGATGATCGCATCCTAGAGGTTGTTGCCGTTTTCGGTTCAGTCCAGATGGCCGCTTCACGTCTCATCAATCTGCAACATCATCGCATCGCACAGTGTCAAAGTGTACAAATCAATATTTTAGGTGATGAAGAGATACCCATACAGGTGGACGGCGAAGCCTGGTTACAGCCACCGGGTATGATACGTATCCTACACAAGAACCGCGTGCAAATGTTATGCCGCAACCGTCATCTGGAGGCCTCGCTTAAGACATGGCAAGAAAAACAACGACAACATAGCATTTCCATACAACGTGATCATTCATCCACCGCATCGGAACATGCTACCTCAACGGATGAAGTCATCTCGGAGCGAGAATGCTATGTCCTGCTTAACTTCATTGAGGCTGTTAGTTCGCTCATTAAGTGGGTGAAATTCTTGATAATATCTCATCCCACATTGAGGCATGATTTATATTCGGTGGCCTGTCGTGCTCAGGATGCCTTAGAGAGTATCCATCCTCAGGGCAAACTGTTGGAGGGTCCTTCATTGCGCACCAAATTAGTTGAGGTGATTGATTCGTCTCGGCAACTTTATGATGATGCATGTAATTTGCTCAGAGATCGTGGTCATAGTTTGATTTTGAGAGAGGATCTGGAGAGTAAGTTGAGTGCTGCCTTGGCCAACATGGAAATGGAATTGAAGAAGTGTTCGGTGCAAAAGTGTGTGGATGGCAAACTGAGGGCCTATTTCAATGTGCTGGCGCCCAATGAGGAGGTAGTGTTTATAATTGTCTTAAAAAGGTTACCAATTTTAATATATGTATATAATTTCAGGGCGATGGACGCCGCAAATCACGAGCCTTTTGGACCCGTCTTCGCTCCGGTTCCACTGCTGGACAAAACCAATTCAAGGCACCTTTGACCAACACCCGTGAAGCGGTTAGCAATTGGAGTGTCAATGAGGTGGTCACCTGGTTGGAGACCATGCAACTCTCCGAATATGTTGACAGTTTCCTACGCAACGACATACGTGGCAAAGAGCTGCTTACGCTTGGTCGCAGAGATCTCAAAGATTTGGGTGTCATCAAAGTTGGTCATGTCAAGCGTATACTGCAGGCCATCAAGGATATGAATGAGAACTAATTATTTTCTTCATAGGGAGCAGGAGGCTGTAAAACACCGAGAATGTTTATGCGATTCTACAAAATGTCTTAATTGCTTAAAACAATCATAGATCTACTCTAAAACAAAAATCTCTTTATACTCAACACACACACATTTATATGACTATTAACGATGATCAACAAAACGAAAGCCTAGCAAAGCTAATTCCACACAAAAATAGAACAACAAGTGCTACAAATTTGTGTTAATTTTTCAGAACATCCAAAAGGAAAAAAGGAAAAGAGTTGCATTTTTTATAGGCTGAAAACTTATTTCATGTTTGTATTCGCATCGAGTTGCCTTCCTCGAAATCGTAAAAACAAACTTTTTTTATTTAACAACAATTAAAAGCAGATGTAGTCAGTCATCCTTAACAGTTCCTTTTGTCCTGGTTCCGTTTACTCCTTAAGAGTTATTTCCAAAACCATCCTATGTATGAATAAGTAATTATAATATACCTTACCATGGCCTCCATAGCATTACATTTTTATACCCTCAGCCTTATGACAACAGAGGGCATATTCGAGCTGATACGTCAAAATATGTCCTTCATAGTTTGGAAACTTCTCTCATTTTAATATTTTTACCGAAAAATTATGAAGTTTATAAGTTTGGTGCTCATGGTGCCTCCGCCATAAAAGGTGAACATTTTGACACCTCAATCCTCATCTTCAAGCCTACACACGGCAATAGGTCTTCCTGGTTCAAAAAACAGATTTTTGAAAAATACTCTTGTTTTTTTTTTCAAAAAAATTTTTTTAAATACTTTTAAGGAGATTCTGACCATACACATAGCGGATTTTAAAAATAATTTTCAAAGACATTCCGACTATATATAACTCGTGAATTTCATACAAATATTTTTTATATAAATATTGGATTTTTGGAAAATATTCATAGAGGAGAATATAATTCCCGTCTTCCCGTCTATATAGATCGCGTATTTTTTTAAAAATATTTGTGACTATAAATCAAGGATTTTTTAAAAATATTATTCAAGTGAAAAAATTGCTTCATATTCATGGGTATTTAAAAATTACAACTACTATATATAAATATTTTTTTTAATCTTCTTTAGATATTTCACATATAAGTAAATATTGTGATTTTTTTTTAAATTTTAACAAAAAATCGTTGATTTTCTAAGAACTTTTAGGAGTTTTTCGAGGCAAAAAATCTGATATCATTTCAGCAAAATAATAATATAATAAATTGTTTGAAGGTACGATAGGTCTTGTTTTGAGTCCCCTAAAATAAATTAAAGTATATTAAAATATTCTCTCAATGACCCAATTTTTCCCTTTTAATATTTCTATTCTTTGCTGCAAATGCAACTCTTTTCCAAATTATATTTCTACAAAACCCCAGACGAATATTAGTTACGCTAAATAATTACAAAAAACAAAGCAAATTCCCGAAAAAAACCTGAAAAACCAGCAAAACGCAAACACAAATTATGTTTAAGAATTTTTTCAGAAATCCCTTAAATGTTACATTTAAAAACAAAAATTATAATATTTAATATTAAGTTTACGATTTGTTTTTAAAAATTAAACGAAAACATATTTATATTTAATGATGATATAAATTACGAATTTAATTTCACTTAACAAAAAAATATTTCTTTAAAAACAAACGAAACAATTCCCGCAGAAGAAAAATTAAAAAAATTATATATATTCGTAATGTTATTATTAACTATAAAAAAATAATATTAAAAACAAAACCATGAAACCAACAGATGCATTCTAAATTTTAAAAGCAATTCAATTCAAAATTTAAAAGAAAACAAAAAAAAAATAAATTAATTATTTATGTACACTAACTTTGTATTAAAAAAAAATAAAAACAATTAAGTTTAAGCCAAAAAGTAAAACAACACTTACACACAAACGAATATGAATGACTGTTTAGACAAAAAGAAAATTTACCCATGACACATATACATGCATACATACATGATGAATCAAACATACATGCATACAGTATAACGAAAATATTGATATAATTTTAAGTATTTTTCCTTTTAAGATGAAAAACAAAAGAAAAAGAAAATAGTTATTATTAATAAATTAATCACACTTCACACACACACGAAGAGTGACACAAATTTCAATCTCAATAACTTACACTACTACATCCAACCGAAGAATGAAAATCCTATACATCATTTTTATAATTAAACGGAATCTTGTGTATTTATCTTGTTAACTCATGGACTCAAAGGTCCAATGCCTAAATCAGAATTCAATAATTTTCGATATTAAGGAAAATTGCAAATCAGAAAATTGCAAATCAGAGCGATCTTGCTTGTACTTCCATTATGGTAGAATAAATTGTAGTTTTGCTTTAAATAGGCGATATTTGGAATTGAACTTAATTCACACCTGTTATGAGATCTCAGCAATATTTCTTGTAGTTCTTTTGGAGATTGATCGTAGGTAATCAATAACCAGATTAGTTCTTGAATCGACGATGACAGTTACATATTTCAGCATTTGAATGCAAAACAATTAAAAAAATAGCTAGTCCTATAGTAGGCCTACGTTTTAAGCATATCATTTTTTTTTCATTATATAGCTCAACGCTTTCTTTCCTAAAAAAGGAAAAAATGAATAAAACCTATGAAAACATGGGTTATATTAAATATACGCCTTATCAACTATGGGATCCAAAAAGGCTCCATCGCTAGCAAACAAAAATCCATTCAATTTTCGCTCTGGCCTACCAAGCCCCCAAACCAAGAGCATTGGGCACTGAACTTTTCAGTCCATTTGTTAAAAAAAGAGCCCAGTTAAATACATGACGTTTCATTTGCACTTCAATTTCATTCACACATCAGGACATACATACAATCTTATATTCTACATATATGTATATGTATTTGTACATTGACATACATACAAACCCTAAAAGTCTTGAAACAAATTCGAAATACGCTTAACAAAAACGAAACTTTTTTCGTGAGTCATAGTTTTTAATTTACAAACTTATTTTTCCCTTTTTATTATAACTTTTTTCGTAAACGTATATTTAATAAAAACCAAAAAAAAAAACTATTTAATAAAAGAAAGAAGAAACAAAACATAAATTTATATATAAAACAATTTAATCATTAAATCTTTTTTAGATATTATATGTATTAAAGAAAATTTAAACTTAAAAGCAATTTAAAGCAAAAAACTCTAAAATTTTCCCCAAAAAACTTATGAATAAACCCCTCCCCCCAATCACCCACTTAAGCATAAAACATTCCAAAAAAATCAAAAGAAAATGATTTGAAATTGACTATTTTGGACTTGCTATATAAACATAAAAACTGTGATATAAAAGCAGTCCATCCCTTCAAGAAAAAATGTTCTTAACTCCTTTTTCCCATCCTTTTCCCCCATAAACTATTATTTTCTCCCAAAAAAAAAAAAACTGCCCATATTGTTTTTTCCAATATTTATAAAAAAATAAACCCAAAACTTAAAACAATCATAAACAACTCAATAAATAAATTATTAACTATCTATCCACACATAGACACATATGAGATACTCAAAAGACAGTATGAGAGAATGATGTGCAGGTTCTTCTCATACCATAAAATAAAACTTGGTTGTTGTTTTTTATTATTATCATCATTTTCTCTCGTTTATAACTTGTTGTGCAAAACAGATATCATGGAAAACCAAAAAAAAATATTAATTTTTCAAAGATAACAACAAAACAAAATGTCTTTATAATCATCCTTAAAAACGAAATAAATTTCCATATTTTTTTGTTTATTTCTTTAAATCTTTACAAAAACCCAAAAACCAAACGCACACTTTGTTTTATTTGGGAGATAAAATCTGTTATAGAGGTAAGTAAAATCAAAATAAGAGAAATATTAATACCATCTATAAATAACAACTTTGAATATATATTGAGTTTCAACACTGAGAACACTGGTGTCTCAAATGGAAAAATTAAAGTTTTATTCTAAGTTATTAAAATGTAGAACGATTTGTTTGAGAAATTTTTCTTGGCCTTTAAAATAACATTCCAAGAACTTAACTTAGGTTAAATAACTGTTGTTACAATTAAAATTGTTATACCTGTTAAGATTAAATAATACAGCCACAATAGCAGAAAAATACAGCTGTAGAATTAAAACCGGTAAGGAAAGGACAAAAGTCGGCCGAGGCCGACTATATGATACCCTACACCATTATGAGTATATAGGAGATTTCTCGTAACAAATAACTATGAACCTTATTCGAGTGCGTACCATGGCTTTGGAGTAGTCACAATTTGGGAACTATATCCAACTCTGAATCTATTTTCAACAAATTTGACGGTAATGTTATTTGGTATTAGAGGTATAAACTCTAATACCAAATAACATTACTGTATAGTACATGATATGACTTCGATAAGGATTTTATTAAAAACTATTTATTGGAGAAATAGATATATCGGACCGATTTTCATCAAATAGAAAAATTCGGTTGAATATGAAAAAATATATCCAATTTGGGCTGATATTGCATATATGGTGGACAATAACTCTAAAATCGGAAGAAGAGGTATATCGAAGGTATATAAAAATCTAAACTGTTCGACCTGTATCTGATGTCCGATATCAAATATAATTGTTGTGGAGTGTATGTTACGCATGTAAGGGACTCAATAGGACTCAACGGATCAAATCGGATGAAACGATTTCCACCAGAAGTGCCAAAATTCAGTCCATTTGGGCTGATATTAGCCATATATCGGATAAAGATATATAGATATATATAAAGCTATATCCAAATCTGATGCGATCTTGACAACATTTTAGGCACTTACTCTGTGCTGTATCTGATATCTGCATGTGAGGGACTTATAACCCCAAATCGGATGAAACATATATATGGGACATATATATCTGATTTTCATCAGATTTGAAGATCTTGTTTCTAGGATGAATTCAGTCGGAATTGCCAAAATTCAGGTATTTTGGAATGATATTTGCCACTTGGTGCACAATTTACCCGAATCGGTTGAAGATATATATGGGACATATATCTAAATTTGAACCGATTCACGCCAATTTCAATAGAGTTCGTCCTTGGATTAAATAAATATTGTTTGGAAAATTTCATCTAAAGCGGAAAATAAATGCGACCTGCATTTTGTTCACAAAAATACATTGACAAACGGACTGCCATGCATAAATCGACTAAGAAAGTGATTCTATGAAGACCCTAAAAAGTAACTATGGGTCTATCTCGCTTCCTTCTCCCTGTTACAAACAAATGCACAAAGACATAATACCCTTACCACTATGTGGTGTAGGGTAAAAAAATAACTTAGGGTAAGGTTTTCCACATTTCAATATTGCCGTCATTACAAGATCAGCTGTGGAATATCTTGGTCAAAATTTTGAATATCTTGGTCAAAATTTTGAATATCTTGGTCAAATTTTGGAAAATAATAAATCACATCTTAACTTGTAGTAACTCCCCGACAAACACACCAGAATTTCCAAAAGTTATGAGTGTATGTAGATATCTGTCGGCAAACCTACTGATCCTGCCCAACTTGTTGTAAAGAAGATAATCCAGAAAGCGAAGTTTTAAAACTCGAAGCCACGTTTTTCAATGGAATTGTCTGAAATTCTTTACAAGGTGTTCTTTGTGAGCACTTTATCCCCTGGAAGAGAATTGTATACATGTATAGGTCCACAATATCGTATATATCGCATATAACGGTACCTTCCGATATTCGGTATTTTGAGGATTTTTCAATGGAATTTTTTGAAAGGAATTCCTTCTGAGTACTTTACATCCTGGAATAGAACAGGTCCACGATATCATATATACCCGGGATATTCGATATTTTCATGATCTTAGCAACATTTTTCACCGGAATTGTTACAAGTTTGATGATATTAGCGAATTTTTCAACTGAATCGGGACTACAGCCTATGATAAAAAATTACTTGTGCAGGTCCACGTCTTTGTATATCCCTCATATAACAGTTTTCATTTAAATTGTATTTTTCGACGAATTTTTTTGAAACGATTCAAGGTCCATCAAAATAGTGGAGGGTATTAATTGTTCGCCCCGACCGAACTTAACTGGGTTTTTACTTGTTCATTCTTATATAATTAAAAGAACAAACATAAACAAGAGTCGAACAGTATATATTGGATGTTGAAATGTTGGAAAAACATAGGAGTTGGAAAATATCAACAAGATCCAATATTTTTTGTCACTTTTGCATAAATAGAAAACTTAATTATTGTTTTTTTTTTTTTTTATTAAAAACCCAATTTAATATGTTGCAGAATTCTCTCCCAAAGTCAGCTTGATTTAAGAACATTAAAATTTTATTAAAATATCTTAAGTGGTGACAACATAAGACCGGTTGGCTTTATAGGTAAAAAATTGACGATATTCAGGGAAAGATAGCTTAAATTGGTCAGTCGATTTCTTACGTAAAAAATCCTGCTATCTATTGACTATTCTTAAATTCATAATAGTCTTAGTTTTTTTGGCCATATTATTATAGATCAAATTCCTATAACAAAAAATTGCCTGTGCAGACCCACGTCTTCGAATAGTACCCATGTAACGGCGACGCCCGTTAATCGGTATTTTGCTAATTTTAGGTATATTTTTTAAAATAATTGTTTCGAACTTGATGTTTGGAGTTTTTAATACATACTCCTTATATGTTTTTCAACTTTCTTCGAAATGGTAGAGGGTATATAGAATCTTCGATCCGACAGAACTTAGGTGAATTTTTACTCGTAATAATTACAATAATAAAATCCTGCAAATCTAAAAGCTATTACCTAGTTCCCATAACCAAATTGCTCTGAAATAAAAACACATTTGAAACATTTATTGAAACGTTTATATGCATTTCTTTATTTAAATATATATTTTTTTTGGTTTTTGTTTTTTTCTCATTACTTTTATAGCTTATTAGATGTCACTTGAAGTTGTTGTTGTTGTATTTGTTTTTCATTTTCTTTTATTATTATGTTCTTTTAATTAGTGATCTTCATTGATCGATCAGCTCACATTTAGTTATGACTAGTAATAAAAAAGCCTTTTCTCTTGAATGTCCTGAAGGCTTAGTTCGATTTCATTATTCATTTTTATGTTTTCTTTTTAAGTAGATTTATTTTTTTGGGGAGTGTCCACGTTTCATTGAGAGGGTGTCTTCAATGTTCTTTAATTTTCTGGGTAAGGGGGAATTCATTTTTTTTTGTTAAAAAAAGCTCACTATTTAAGTAAATTCATTTTGGTTTTGTGTTGAGTGTTTCTTAATTTGGATTTTTGGTTTCTTTTCAAAAGGGATTTTCAAATTTTGTATTTGTGGGCTTATTGGCTATAAAGTATTAAAATGTTTTATTTAATTTATTTGGTTTTTAGTTTCCTATATGAAGGTTTTTTTTAGTTGGGGATTTGGTTTGTCTTATTCAAGCTGTGGTAAATACTAAGATGGTTTTTCTTGGTGTTGATTTGTTTTTCATTTCTCTGAAGTTGTGATTATACATTTTCAGTTTTTCTTACTTTTGCCTTTACCAAGCTAAAAAGTATCCTTTATTTTTCAAGTGTCAATTTATTAAATTCCTATTTGTTGTTAATTAAAAACTAAAAAAAATGTTTATTTTGTGTTTTACTTTTCTTTGTTTTTTGCTTTTTTTTTCTGAAAGAGACATTCATATAAATTGAAGTTGTTGTATTTTTTTTTAGATTTCGTTTATTGGTTTTTATGTAGTTGTAGTTATGCAATTTGTTTATATATATGTATGTTTGTATGTATGTGCTTCTTTCTGCTATTACGGTTTTGTTTTTCATTCTCGGCACTGCGGTTCGAGACTAAGTTTGCTGTCCCTTGGAGAATAGATTCTGATTAATTTGTTGAAAACTTTGATTTTCAAAATTTTAATTGAAATCTATGCGATTCCTCGGGATTGATCTGCTCATTAAATTTATTTATTGTGATGCTATTTCTTTAGAACTAACTAAATTTCGAGTTTAGTTAAAAAGGTTATGGAAGGGATGTATGATTTGTTTTTTCTATGCTGGGCTGTGTGAATTTTCAATAAGTGTTCTGTCGCTTTGTTTTAAAACAATTTTGTATTTTGTCAAGAGATCAAAGGATTTTTTTTGGATGTTTGATTTATTGTTTCTGTTTTCTATTTCTGTTCGTTTGTAGATAAATGTTGCAAATTAATACTTTTCATTGTTAATTCAATCATTTATTGGATCTGAGAGTATATATTTTGGTTGAGGGTTGTTTTGTGTTTTCATTTCATTTATTTTCATTTATTTTTTGTTTTATTTTAAGAAGGCTAAACATTTATTATTATTTACTTAGATTTAGTTAAAGAATTATGTTTTAGTTCCATTGTTTTTTTTTTTTTTTTTTTTTTTTTTATTAAATAATCAATAAATTCATTTTAAATAAACTCAACGTTGTTTCTTTTCTCTTTTATCCTGTTCTGCTTTGCTCATCACATTCCTCTTCTTTTGTTTCTTCACTTCGACAACATATGATCATTTGCAACTTATTTGTAATTGTACAAAATAACATTAAATATTTGTATGGTTGTTTTTTTATTTGTTTTTGGTTTTTTGCTTAAAGACACATTTATATGATTTTATTTTTAATATGAGGGTTTCAGGGTATATAGGCTAACAAATATTATCCGGTATTGAAATGCATTTTCTAGTTGGGAAAAGTTTACAAAGTTTAAGTGTTCTTCAAAAAATAAATATTTTATTTTTTTATATTCTCTTGGAATATTTGGGCACTTTGGATAAAATTTTAAAACTGGAAAAAAAAAACTAAAGAATAATCTGATTTACAGAAGTAGGACCGCAATGTCTGACATTTACCTAAACTGTAGTGGAATTCTCTAACTCATTTTTGAGTTACCGACAAAAGTCGGTAAAAAGACATACCCATAGATACCTATGTTCTCAACTCTAAGTTATTTTTTATATCTAAATTTTGGGTTTCAAAGTTACCAACTTTTGTCGGCAACTCAAAATATGAGTTAGATGATCTCAGTACAGGTACAGAATTTTTAACTCTCGTATGACAAAACTGATGTCCACAGTTTCAATTATTATGAAACTCATGCTGCTGAAAAGTCCAAGGCTTGGTGCTATTTGAGCCCGCAGGTGTAGTAGTTTATTTTGAAGATCAACTCGGAAACTCAAGTCCAAGGTTTGGTGCTATTATTAGCCCGCAGGTGTAGCAGTTTATTTTGAAGGATCAACTCGGAAACTCAAGGTAGGGCTTCAATTCGAAATTTAAAAATGACTACTTCCTTCGTTTTGCAGCCATAGACATTCTAGTGTGAGTTGGGACGATACGGCGTAGCAGTTATATCGATACTCTGAACAGATATATTTGTACCGATCTATTCAGAATCCGAATGGAGATAGCTACATCATCCTGAACGCAGTTGAGCCAAACCCCTTTTTTGTCTATGAAGCAAAGGTTTTTGGCTGCTATAATTGCCTTTGAAACACATCAGCATCAAGACTTGATAGGCTCAATAAACCTATTTTAACTAGAGGTTTTCTTTATATTTTTGAACCTAATTTTTCAGATCATGCAGAGTTTTCACTATTTGAATAACTTTCACAGAAACTGCCACGCAGACATCTCAGACAAAGTATATACCGAAAAAAGCTTGTTCTCGTCACGTAGATGGTCCATTGCTGATATGAGGAGGCGTAATGCTACAGTTCTAAGAGTGACATTCTGCGAAGCCTCTCATGTGTAATTCAAACCTACACTATTGCTTCGGACTCTAATGCTTTCCCAGTTTGGTTAATCTCTCTTAATCTCTCTTGCCTGCCTATAGTATAATATGAGGACAAAAAATTTCTTTGTCCGCCCACCGGCTACTACCGGCTAAAAACATAAGGACCCCATACATTACTTTTTGATTGGACTTTCTAAGAGCTAATTGAACTTCAACACCCATGAATGGAACAGTAACTATATACCTCCAATCATGAGGTTTGACAGAATTGAGCTACAGATTCTAAGCAGAGATTAATTGAACCGAGTCAACCTACCTCTAGTCGGTCTGCCGATATATACAAAAAGAAAAAAAATAGAAAAAGGCATGGGATCAGAATCTTCTGTCAGCAACTATCAATGGCATACTCATACAATTTGTGTGGAAAGTGCAGTGTTCTTCAAGCACAGATCTTTGAGATCATGAAAGCGGCATATGTATCTGAACTGGCCCTTTAAGGCTCTTTAAGCTTTTCAATCTTCTACATTAAATTTCGATGCAGCCCCGAGGTGTAGAACAGTTCTGAGAAATCTGGACACTACTAACTGGCTTTTCTGGTACCTGGTTGTTGTAATATTGAAGGACATGAGAAAGCCAATGAGACTTATTAAAACCTCCTCTTTGTTATTTTTAACAGAGCATTAGAACTGCTCTTTTGAGAGCGGCGCTTCAAAGTACGCTGGTACAACGAATTGCGGTGCAGACACGGACCCCGTCATCACCTATAATTTCGGAAAAAAAAACTTTACTGGCGCTGAACTTACATCTCAACTTTGTTCGAAGCTTTTCTCTATCCTTTCTACTTCTCTACAAAGATCTATCAACATTCATCTTTCGCAACTTTTATTCCTTCTTCCTTTTTTCACGCAGCAGAACGCCGAAACCAATCACAATAATTTACCAGTTATAGAGCCTCTGCTGACAAATTTAGTCCCATTTTTGATATACGACCAGCAGACATGCCTCTCTTTCTCTGCTTCTCGAACATTTGAACCTTCATGTAATGCTTAAATTGATGGCTTTTCATTACTCTCCCTCTCTCCACTCTTTTGTTTAGAAATGCAAAATTTATCATTCATCATACGCCACCTCGATCAGAAATTGTATTCATATTACGCATACGCATGGGTGGAAAATTTCTTTTTAGTTTTTATATAAGTAAAGAGAGATCTCTTGCAGGCTTGGGAATAATTGTTGCCTTTGTTACTAGCAGAATTCAAGGAAAAAATATAAAATCCTAAGAACATCAAGACTTTTTGATTTTAGAAAACCATATAAATATCATAGCCCCCAATATTATTAATCCTTTTTACATTACATTGTTATAACATAAACGATTTTTTATTTATCATGGGCCTTTTTTTACTTTCGTGAAGTTCATCATTTTGAATCCTGGATTCAAATATGTTGACAATTTTTCTATTGTAAGAACAAGGAATCCCAACTAGCGAATTGCACTCAATTCCGGAGTAGGCATTTCGTTATAAACTAAATAAAGCTTAACATGTCATAAACAAAAAACATTCAATGATAAGCTTTGTTTTGTATGTTTTGATCGTTTTGAGAATCATAATAATAATCAGTTAATTAATTAATAATAATAATGATAAATATATAATAATACGAATAATAATAATAATAATAAATATGTGGGTGGTGTGGTTATATGACCACCGAGTAATATAATGTAACATGCATTTCTTATTAAGGTTGTATTGTATCCTTTGTTTTTATGGGTATCATTGTTGTTGTTTTGTATTTTTTTATGTTAATGTTAGTAATTATCATTTTGTTTGTGTTTTTTTTTTTCACTTAGCATAATCCAATAATACTTGTTTTTTATCATTCGATTTAATTCAATTAAAAAATGTTTCAATACTTGTTTGTGTTTTGTAGTTTAGTTTTTTGCTTTTAATTTGGATTGAAATTTATTTGAGGAAAAGGAATCATTTTAAGAAAAAAATATTAAATCGTTTAGAGAAATTTTCGAATTCTTTACCTATGTGGTTTGTCCCATTTGAAATAAGCACTTGAATTGAATAGATTTAGCTTTAAATATTCGGAACACAAAGAAAGAAATCAAGCCATTCATTTTTCGTTGAGTGTGTGTTTTAGCTGTGTAGTGTTTGAGAGTGTGTGTGTGTGTTTCTGTGTTGTTGTCTTAGTCCTTATTATTTTTTTTTTAAAAACGGTATGTGTTTTTTGTTTTATTTTCCTTATATATTAAAAATTTAAAATCGCCATCATTAGCCTTCGAAAATAAATATTCGTCCGACCAACCGACCGACTGACTCTTCGACTATTTGATGACTTACGGTTTTAGAAAAATAAATTCTGTTTTGTATAAACTTCATGACGGAAACTTCTATGCCTGAATGTGTATTTAGTTTGGCCTAAATAGCTAAAACATGATTTCGTAGTTTTTTTTTTCTTTGTCGCCTATACTGTATGAATGTGTGTGTGTAGATTATGTTTTGTGTCAGTGTTTTTTTTTTTTTTTCCTAAAGATGTTGTTTTTCTTTTTCTTTTTTGTGTTATTTTGGACGGGTCTTCGTGTCTTTGGTTTGATGTAATGAAATTTGATGACAACAAAATGCAACTCCATTTCAATAAAAGCAGAGGGTCCAGTAGAGGCGGGTTTGAGTCAAAATGATTGGACATTTTTGATGGCACTCTGGCATGGACTATAAATACTTTGTCCTACCAGTTTCTTAGAAAGGAATGTCTTTAATGAGAATTTCAGTTGGAAGTAACTGATAAATTTAAAAAAACTCGGTCAATGAGAAAAAGATAAATTTTAATTTTGAAATGTTCTCTGATTTTACTGTTTTTTTTTCCTTCATGTTGTGTTACATTTTGTTGAAATATGTGTCCCAATTCATCTACTTCACTCAATTTTTCTTAAAATTTCAAATTCAAACTGACATTTAAAATATTAATCTCGGATATTATAGTCTAGCTGGAATATCGCTAGTTCATTAGACGTTCTCCGTTGCAACTCTTATGACTCAGTTGGTCATTTAACGGAAGTTCCTCATTACTCGCTTTTAATTCATTGGCCAATTTAGTTTGTATCTGGTTTCCTGCCATAGTTCACTTTTTATATAAAGCATGTTAAATACAATTTAACATTTTTGAAATAAGTTTAGCTGCTTTATAGCTATGGTAATATTGGCTATTTCTGGTAATTTTGAAAATAGCCTTGTTCATTTATTAGTTCCTTCGCCGTTTAAGTAATATTTAGCAGATAGTTCGGTAGCCGTAATGGAATTAAGAGAAACAATTTTAATTAATCTTTATTTAGTCAATGCAAAATAAAAATGCCATCTTTATGTCTTGGACTAAACAGGTTCTCTTTAAGATATTGTACTTTTGTGTAGGTGATTCTCTACACCTTACTACATTCTCTTTCTATCTAATACTCATAATTCTATGCTCTGACCGTTATTGTGGATGTGTGAAGAAACACATGTTAACTCCTTACACTTGAGTAGTAAGAGTAGTTACTGTTAATGATATTTATCTATTGCCTCTTTCTCTCTTAGATATATTTAACATAGATGGGCAAGTATGCATGCTAGCGTTGCTGTCTCTTATTATAAGTGAGTAAAACACGACCAAGCAGACATATACGAACAATTTTCAACAATTGTTTTCATAAAATAAAACAGTGTTGGCATGTTTGTTTGAGATACCATAGTATTTTGTTGTTGCGAAATGGTTTGGCTTAATCCCATTATTGGCGTTTCCATAAAAACAACGTTTGTTTATTAGTGGAGAATGATGGTAATGTTTACCATAAAATAATTTAAGCATATCTCTTTCATTATGTGTCCATCTATGATTCAAGGCAACCAATGAGGCAGACTGCTTGCTGAACACTGCATTTGCAATTAACGGCAATTGGAAATCGAGAGAAAATTCCTAAGGTTCCTAAGTCTCAGTGCGCAACCACACGACATCGGTATTATGACCTATTCTAGAAAACCTATTAAGTGTCGCACACTGTAAAGTATTAGTACCTCCATTTTATGAAGAATAATATATTTTATTATAACCATTTTCTGATAACTTTGGAACTACTGCTCTCACAATCTTTACTCTTGGTACACATTCTCTCTCTCTCTTTTGATATTTAATATTCAAAGGAAAGCGATTAATATTACATTCCATATTAACCAATGTTTTATCCCACCCATTTCAACTCACCTCCACTCTACTACTCTCCTCTCTTACATCGAAATGGAGTCTAATGGATGTTTTTTTAATGAATTTTGAACAAATAAATCTCACGTTTAAAATTTAGAGGGGTCTTTATACGCTATTTTCTTAGAATAGAAATTGTTTTTTCTTTTCGGTATTGTGAAACGTCTAACACGCAATGACTTTAAGCTCATAGCCTAAAGCTTAAAAAATAAGATATTTGTCAGGAGTTGGGCGGGGCGGGGCACGGCATTGGATGTACATAACAATCCAGTGTAAAAGCATTGTTGTTGTGGTTTCTTTCCTAAAACCTAAGAATATATTTGTCTTGCAGTACGAGTATAAACATTGGAATGAAATTGAATTACTTGGATTTATCGTCTCCTCCTACTCTGTGCTAAGATATTACTCTCATGTAAAAAACAATAACTTTTTTTCTAAAAAACCGGAGGAATTAAAGTAAAGTAGCTTTTCCTTTTTCTTGGTAGATCTTTACTTGTTGTTCTTATTGCTTTTTCGTGATTTGGTTTCTTCTCTAGTTTCATTTGGATTTTTGGGTTTTTCTCTCAAAAGGAAACATAAGAATAAAATGACACTTAACTACAAGCTTAGACACTTTCCTCCTTGGTTACATTGCCGCCCCAGAAGCGATCAAAACGGTCACGAGCCTTTTCTAGCACTTCGGTAGCTGTTGAACGAGCTGTTGAAGCTGTGGTTGTTGTTGAATTCGAAGATGATGACAAATTGGCAGCAGCGGCGGCACCACCACCGCTGGCACCAGCAGCCGCGGCCGCAGCACTGGAAGCCATTATGACATCAACGTCAAACAATGGATCCTCCAGGACGCGTATGGATGAACCTGGCAAGGGTTTCTTGTTTACAGTCGACGAGGACAACGACGACGATGTAGGACTTAGAGCGCTCTGTGGCGATTTTGCTTCGTTGTTGTTGTTGTTGCTGGGCTTTTTATTCTTCCAGGCTGCGTAGAGTGATGATGCGTTGCGTTGCGTTGATGTTGTTGTTGACGTTGACGTTGGCGTTGTTGTAGTAGTAGTTGTTATGGATGTGGTTGATGTAAATGTGGATTTTTTGCAAACGTGAGTAATTAGGGGATTAAATTACGAAGAAGAAGATGTGTTACGAAAAAAGTGCTTCTTTCTTTGATAGGCTTTAAGCTTTTTTGAGTTTTTTTTTTTTTGGTTTAGTTATTAAATACGGGTTTTTTAATGATGATAATGATGAATAGCGAATTAGTATTGAAAAAGCATTTTTGTTTTTTTTTTTTTGGTTTTTTTATTGGATATGGATGTTACGAAGAACAAGCGTGCTTTAAAGCTTACCGTCCATTTTGACTTGTTCAGTCAATTCTGGTGGAGCCGACTGAGGTGGAGGTGGTGGCTTTTCAACGGGCGTAGAAGCTTTTATTTCACTTTGTGGTCTGCTGTAGTTTTCGCCTGTAAGAGAGGGGGGAAACATTTAATAAATATTGAATTTTATAATTAAATAATTAGTTTCTCAGGAAATCTGCAAGACGGGATCATTTTTTTAAGAAAACCCAAAGACATATTCAGGTATTAGTAAGCAAAAGAACTTTGAATTGGGTTCAAAATGACGATGAATTTGTCTTTCTTATAAGAAATAAGGAGACATCAAATAATGGGAGACATCAAATAATTCCGACATCTAATAAAAATTATATATAATCTATTTAATATGTTTAAGATGTGTTAAATGAGATATCATCAATTTGGACACCCTCCGAGAAATAGGATTAAAACACATGTAATCCATTTATTCACAATCATCCGTATGTTTAGCCACCTTGTAGGCACACAAACTCTGGAATCAAGTCTCAGGTCAAGATTTTGGAAAAAAAGAGAGAGATAGAGGGAAAATTTCAACATTGCGATTTAGCACTATCTGCCCGTCTGTCCGTCTCAAAATGAATAAAGAAAGGAAGCTTAAATTTTGCACAGATCAGTTATTTGTCTTCAGGCAGGCCAAGTTCGAAAATGGGCTATATCGGTTCACGATATCGTATAGCCCCCATATAACGGTACCCCCTGATATTGGATATTTTGATAATTGCAGCCAAATTTTTGAACGGAATTGTCTGAAATTCACGAGAGGAGTTTCTTCTGAATACTTTACCCCCTGAAAGAGTATTGTCTATATAGGTCCACGATGTTGTATATCCCCCATATAAAGGTACCTCCCTATATTTGGTATTTTGATGATTTCAGCTACATTTTTCTATGGAATTGTCTAAAAATCCATACCAGAAGTTCCTTCTTAGCACTTTGCCGCCACATATAACGGTACCTCCAGATATTCGATATTTTGACGATTTTAGGGAAAATTTTCTTCGGAGCTGTTTCAAATTTTCTATTTAGAATTCGTAATGGGTACTACAGCCTATGACAAAAAACGGCCCACGTCTTCGTGTAGCCTCCATATAAAGATAGCTCCCAATATTTCGTATTTTGATGATTTTAGCTACATTATTTACCGGAGGTGTTTCAAATTCCGTATTTAGAGTTCGTATTGGGCACTACGACAGAAAATTGCGTATGCAGGCCCACGTCTTCGTATATAACGGTACTTTCCAATATTCTGTATTTTTATGATTTTAGCTAAATTATTTAACAGCAAATTTCCAATGATGGAGAGTATTCATAGTTCGCCACGACTAAACTTACAACTTTTTTAATTGTTATTCCTAAAAAAAGCTAAAGCACAAACCTTCTTTGACATTTTGTGTGACAGTAAATGTTTTCCCTGTGTCCAGTGGCACGGTCCAGTTCACTGGATCTGGTGAACGCATTATGATTTGTTCAGGACTCTTGACGCGAGTGGGCTCGGGAGGCGACTTAACAATGGGTTCGTCGGGGATCTCAGGTGCTGGTTGAGGACTGCAGCTGGATACAGAAATGGCAGTGTCACGGCCATCTTCGCCTTCATCTAAGTATACAAAAATTAGGATATTCATTAAAAATTATAGCAATAAATTACAGCAGTAAAATCAATTGATATTTGTAAGGATATGTTAATTAATTAGTATTTGTTTATTTTTTTTTGTTATTAATTTTTTTTGTTCATCTTTCAAAGCATACTTTTTCAAAAGTGGAAAATAAAATTATGTTAGTAGTATTAGTAGAAGTAGAATTATTAACCAAATAAGTTGTTATGTTACGAGTTTCAAAGAGATCGTAGAAACAACAAAAACAAAGAGACCTGTTAAACTCAATCAATAATGGTAATAATAAAAAAAGAAGAAAGGAAGTTTCAATAAGCTGATTTTGTTTCTCTTTTTCTTTTTGTTTGTTAATAGATATTAAAAACAATACATTTCAACAAACCATTTCAAATGCTAGAATTTCGTTTTTTTCTCTTTTTTTTAAATAAATTAAAATAAATTTACAAACAAACTACATGCTCAAAAGCAGCTTAACAACAATTATTAATAATAAATTCCCTTTAAAGAAAACACAAAGCATTTAAATCATCTCAAATTAACTGGAGCATGGGGAAAGAGTAAAACAAATATGTCAAAAGGTTAGAGAGAGATAGAGAGGAGGATATTGATGAGAATACTGTGAGTTTGTAAGAGAGTGATGTAGAAATGTTAGTGGTGAAGTTTGTTGTTATTTTTTTTTTTGTAAATCCGGCAGTTAGTTTACATTTTTTTCTGTTAGTTTCTCTGTAGTTCAAGTGTTAGCGGAGTAAAGAGTCCTGTGTATTGTAACACTGAGAGTAGGAGATAGAGAGTAGTTTTACATAAATATATTTATATATAGAGAGAGAGAGAGGAATAACGCAACTTAAATTTTGTATAAATTCTACTACTTAACATACGCACACAAAGACAGTAAGAGAAAGTTCTACATAAACATTGATAACTACAATTGGTTATTATTTTTCATAGGAGTTTCATAGCAGCGTAATTTATGTACAATTTTTTTAATTTTTATTGGAGGAATGAATGAGTAATTCCATAGGAAATCAAACCGATTTTAATAAGGACACTTCTTATACATTTTTTGTGTTATTCCACTGAACTTTGCGGATAAGTATTGTAAAATATTTCTTCCTCTGTTCGGATTTTCGGATTAGGATTATTAAATTAAAAACGTTGTATATGTGTCCTTTATAAAGTAAGAAATATTCTAAAAAGCATCGTTTCCTTTGAAATTTTCCAGATTGTTTTATACGAAAAGATAAGAAAAATGTACTGAATAAGATTAGCTTTTTATCGAAAGCTTGAAGCTATCTTTAATAGCATATTGCAATTTGTCCGCAATTTTTTATTACATTTATCTCATATTATATTGAATAATATTATTTACAAAACAATATTCGTCGCTTCGAAAACGATCGGTATAAGGACTTTCTCGAAGGAATTACGATTAATTCAAAGACCTATGTTAAGGTCAAGCGAACGGTCGGTCTTACCTCTCGAGACCATTGTTGAGATGGCTGAGGTGTTGACGGACCAGGTGCAGGAAACTCTTAAACATGGGGAGCTTCGTCCGACGATTCTTTCCATTGGCAAGTCAGTTTGGCGGTGGAGGGGGCTGGAGTTCATTCTCCTATTGTGTCGTTTATCAGTTTATTCACTGCTAATCGCTCCTCTGAGGACAACACCCCTCTTTGGGAAGATAGTGGGTTTGTCTATACAAGGAAGGTTGGCATTGCCCTTTCACTCCGGTCCGATAAGCTATGCAGGGAATGTAGTTACGACTTTTTTGACAATCCTTCATTATCATTGCCTTAATCTGGGGTACTTTCCTACGGCTTAGAAGGAGGTCAAGATGGTTCCCATACTGAAACGGGGTTTTGATACCTCTGAGTGTGGTAACTCTATCACAGTTCGGAAAATTATTCGAATCCTTAATTCTGACAAGGATTAGAGGAATCATGGAAGATAGGAGAATACTGCGGGATTGTCATTTCGGTTTTAGGTCTGGTTTTTCTACGACCCATACTTTAACGGCTTTTAGTAGCTTTGTTAGCAAAGGTTTTCACAGGAATGACGGAACTATGGCCGTCTCCCTAGACATCGCCAGGGCTTTCGACTCTGACTGGCATGATGGAATTTTATATAAATTCCAATCATTTGCCTTTGGTAGCCAATCTTGTTGAATGGTCGCTTCAGGATTACAGTTGGTGAGCGACTCTCCAGTTGCCGTCTTAGCAGGTGTTCGTCAAGGTTCTCTCCTTTGCCCGATGTTATGCAACATCTTCTCCTGCGACATGCCGGCTCATCCCCCTGGTGGGCTTCTCCTGACCTATGCCGATGACGTCTTGTCGTCTTATAGGCTAGTTAACGAGTACCATCGGTACTTCGTTAGATAGCGCCTACAGCTGGAAATGTTGTGCTACGGCCTTCCTTGGTCGGCCGGGCTTTGTCTAACTTAATTATAGGAAATTTCAGCCGGTTGAAAATATAGGTTCGGGACAGGTTCATGTGTCGTGTAAGATAAGATACTTAGGATTAGTATTTCAGGAGAGGTTTGACGAATATGAAGGAGGATACAGTGACATCTTGAGGATGAAGCGTGGCATCTACCAAGATGGTAGGCTCTTAATCTACCAACAGGTGATCAGACCTATCGTCGCCTATGCCTTCCTGTCTGGTTTGACATTTCGCCTCACCAGATGGAAATGCTCCTCTTGTCTAAATCTGAGTCTCCGCTCCGCGTGACATTGTCCGCAGTCGTGCTATTACATGCCGAACATTTCCGAAACTTTCGAACTGCAACTCGTTCGATTCAGCTGCTACAATACATCGAACCGAACTATACTATAAAAACCCCATACCATCGAGCCGAGTACGTCAAATATCATCCAACCGACTATTATCCAAGAATCCGTCGCCCTGTCGATTACATCAGCCAAATGATTTATTTGTTGATGAAAATTCATAGCAAAACCACATTTTAATATCTACAATATTTCCGCAAAGTTCAGTAGAATACATTTTCAGAATATTTTTCTTTTTTCATTTGCTTATTATTTATTTTCTTCATTTCATTTGATTTCCTCTGGAATTACTCGAAAATTAGATATCAGGATAACATTGAAGGCTTTTTGGTTGTTTGAAAATAAGATTAGAACACTCTGTTATTGCGTTACAAGACTTATTTTTGATGGAAGTTTGAAGGTAAAGCAACAGAAAAACCTTGCCACATTTACAGCTTTAATTTACAATCAGAATATTTTACAAATTTAATTTTTTTTTGTTAATTTTGGGCCTGGATGGACTGTTAATGTGATAAGGCGAGAATGTTTTTTTGCCAACATTCGTGGATTTTTGCTTCAAAACAAAGGTGACTAATTGTTATTAGGCAGACATTGACTTGCTTGGTTTAATTTGTTGTTTATATTTGCCAAATGATGAAAGTAAAAAAAAATATTACAGTGTTTAGTTTTTTTTTTTTAATTTTGTGGTGGTGACCAATTTTTTAGTTTTTTGTTAAGAAAATCATTTCATTCCTGTTTCAAATTTGACGTCAACGACCTTCACTACTCACTTTCAGCCAATTTCTTATCCCGACTTGGTACCGCTAATTGATTTAATGCCAATAAATTGGGCTTGTGGCCAACAACAACAACACCGTCATCATGACCACCAATGTGGCAATTCACCATGCGCGGCGATGGTGGTGATCGTTTTGAGCTTTGAGTCGTATCTACACAATGAGGTGATTTCGCTTTAGCAGCTGTAGACGATTTCGAGCGTGGCTTGGCAGCGTTTCTTTTGTCTTTGTCACTTTTGCGCATTTGAGCCAGTTGTGGTGATTTGCTTGATTGCTGTGATTGATTGTTAGCGCTATGGGCAACAGCGTTAGCAGCAGCATGACTTGCAGCAGCAGCAGCAGTAGCGCCATTACTTGCATGAGCTCTACCGCTAGGAGGAGGTAATGAACTACTTTTCGTACGATTATGAAATGTAGTGGAAAGGGTAGCTAGATTTTTTTTTTATCCAAGAACACAAAAGAAAATGTGGGCGCAAATACGTGGAGGGGGGAAAACAAAAAGAAAATAAATTAAATTTATTCATAAGTTAAGAGATTCAAACAAATAAAACAAAGAGTACAGAGCTTAAAGTTTCGAGAAGAGAAAAATCAAAATAATACAGAAAAGCCTTTTCTCTTCAACAGTAACAACAAGAAAATAATAAAAATATGTCAAGAGAACCACCTTGTGATTGTGGTTTGCTTTTGTTAAGATAAGCCTGCAATATTACTAAACGGCGTTCAATTATTTCCATACAACAATTGGCAGTTAAGAGAACAATGGTGAGCACAAATTGCAATATCCCTTAATGAGTTTTAATCGTGGAAAGAGTTAAAGATTTGTACAAGGGCAAATGTGAGATGTTGCATCAAACCGTTCAGAGGATCCGATGTCTAATTCAGTAAAATATTGTAAAATGAAAGAAATTCAATTTTTAATGGATAGTCTGTGAAGAAAGAATAAATGTCGGAAGGACCGACTACATAATACCCTACACCACTCAGATGACTCGTTGAGAGAATTCCTTTCAACTCTTAATGAACTTCTAAAACTGCCCTCAAATTATAAGAAATGTCTTAAGATGTCCTTCGAATGTTTTCTTTAAGAATTCTAAGTTAAATCTCTTTGAAAATTTTTATGTTTAAGTTCACAATTGTCACGATAAAAAAATTCTCTTATTTTAAAACTACGCAGAAAATGTCCTTGAAAATCTAGTATTATATTGGCTAAGTCACAATTATATCCCTAAAAATTGCATTAAAAGTTCACAATTATATTCTCATGATATGTTCCTGTAAAGTTCAGAATTATAACCCCACGTACATTATATTATTTATCGATCATATTCTGAGGAAAAATTCACCAAATATCCTCGAATAAAATGTCCTGTGACAAATTTCTAAAATATCTTCTGTTATAGTCCGGTGTTATAGCCCTACGAATATTAAAAAAGAATTTGCCTTAAAAATTCATAATTATAACTGTGAAAGTCCCTACAAAAAATTCTAGGAGCTCCTTAGAATCTATCTATCTATCCATATTTATAACCCTGAAAATCCTTAAGAGGTTCTTATGAAAATTATTTGAAATATTTAATTTTGACTCCGGGAAATTCATGAAAAATTTTACTTTTAAAAATCCACGACTACAGTTCTATGAGTCTCTGGGAAAATATCCGTAAAAATTACGATTTTAGCTTTAGATATATTAAAAATAAAATTTCTTAAGATCCCAATGTTTGCTGCGGAAATCTTAAAGGAAGAACATGGTTATGATTTTGGTGTTCTTCATTCCTTACAAATTTTCCTTAAGTAATCCATCTCTGTATGTCAAAGAGAATATATCCTTTCAAAGTTGGGAAGTATAGCTCTAAGAAATGTTGCTTCGAAAAATTTAGTTTGAAGCTCAGAGAAATTAACCTTTAAAACCCACGATGGTATCTCTGAAGAGAATATCGCTAAAGTTCCATCCTAACAGCTCTGAATGTAATTATATACTACCAAGGCAATCAAAGATCCCTAAGGGACTCTGAGGAAATTTCCTTTAAAAATTCATAATTACGGATCTGGGAGTCCCTGAAAAAATGTTTTTAAAAATCCAAGATCTAGCTCCATGAATTCAAATGCCATTTCCTTCAAATGCTCACGTTCATAGCTCTATGAGAAAGGTTATTTCAGAATTATAGAATTTATTTCAGTTCCCCAGGAGTCTTTCAAAGTCTCTTTAAGAATTTCTGATAGTATATTTGGCAGTCCTTAAAAAGTCCTTTCAAAGACATTACATGACATCTAAGAGATTTCTTATGGCATTGTCCTTTAAAATAAGGATTATAGCTCAACGATAATGTGTCATAAATTCCTTAAGAAATGTTCCACTAACATGAAAGCTTATATGAGAATCTCCTTTAAAACCCTATGATTAAAGCTTTGGAAATACTAAAGATGGTTTATTTTAATATTTTCCGATTATAGCTCTGGAAATACATATAAAAATATCCTTTAATATACATATCTTATATCTCTTATAACTCTAAAAGGCTTAAGAAAACTTGTCCTTTAAATCTGCAATCGCAGATCTGAAGATGCTTAAGGACAACTTTGACTAGAGCTCTGGGAGTCCCAGAGTAAATTCTTTTACAAAATTACGAGAATGTTTCTGGTGCTCCTTAAGGATATTTTTATGATTCACGATTGTAGCCCTGAAAGAAATTCCTTAAAAATCCAGAATTATAAGCCCATCTTTTTAAAATCTTCGATTAATCTTTAAATGTTTTAACAAATAAAATAAAAAGTTGTGATAAGAGCTCATTGAGTCCTTATGAATTGTTCCTTTTAAGATATACGACCATAGCTCTGGATGTCTTCAAGAAAATCCCCGATTATAGACCCTATCTACCAAAGAAAAGCTTTTGAAAAATATAACCCTCTATATAAAATATAGAACTGTTTTCCTTCCATGGAAGATCATTACCCTGTATGAGAGTGTGGTGTAGGGTATGTATGTACCTCTCAAATAAAAACAAATGAATAATTTTGAAATAGTTGGGGTAATTCAATACCAAAATAAGGCTATATATGCGAATTGAAATTTTTTATGATTATACATATGCGCCGAGTCACCTGAAATTCTCTAAATTAATTAAATTGTTTTGTATTGGGAATTTCTTTTGTAGTTTCTTTAAATTAATGGAAGAAAGGACAGATGCGATTATCCAAATCCCTCATACGTAATATTTTTAAATCATTAGATTCCTTTAAATATCGACAATGAAATTTTATGCAGACACAGCAATTTCGTTGGAAAATTCAAATAAATGTAATGATACTATCTCTCTAAATTAAATAAATTAATAATTCTAAACGTTGATTATCTAATAGTAACTGTTTAAACATTGATAAATTACAATATCCACAGTCCAGATCACACAATAACTCTAAAACAAACATGCCAAACTAAACAAGGATTCAGAGAAACCCCTTTTTTGGAAACAATATTACAAAAGTTAAACCCCATCTTCATCATCGGCACAATGTATGAAAATGTCTTAACATATAAAATAATACATACATATTTATTTATATATATAACAAAATACTCTTAAAACTATTGAACTCAGTTGAAAGTTGATGAATGGATGTTAGTAAAACTTGTGTAACCGCAACCACAATTAAATCAACTACTTTTGCTAATAAATCAGCTAAAGGTTTAATGAACGAACGAGCGAACGTATGAATGATTGAATGAATGAAGGTGTGTTTTTCGGTATGAACAGGGATTAGTTGTTGTATTATATATTTCTGTATGGTTTACACAGTTAGTACTTGGCATGACGTTATGTTTTTTTTGTTAGGGCCAATCAATGAATAATTAATTTATTTGAACTAAACAGTAAAGAAAGTATTAGTAACAAATTCTATAAACTAAATGCTGTATGTTATTAACATTTTATTTTCAGATTTCTAAACATGGGGGTTTCAAATACTCAGAACAATTACATAGACAGAGAATTTAGATAGATCCAAAGAAATAGAGAGAGAGAGGAGTACGTATATATGTTTTTTGGTTTTTTGAGGGGGTGGGTGTGAGTGTGAGAACGTAGCTACATTTCTTTGAGTTTGAGTTGGGTGGATTGCTTTCGAGATTTACTTACATGGTCGTGCTTTACGCTCAGCAATTGTGGCCGCTCCGGCAGCAGCTGTGGGAGTTTTCTTGCCAGCCGATCGAGTTGTGGGCGCTGTGCTGGCCGAGCGTATTTGTCGTTTGGGCGATTCATGTTCTGGGCCAACCGATTGTGAGCGTGCTTTACGAACATAAAACGATTGGTGTTTATTCGTTTCGATTTGAAAATTGCACGTTCGAACATTTCAACACGAATTCAATACATCGTTTTTTTGGGTTTTTCAGATTTTTTTGTTTTTAGATGCGTTGAAGAAGAAATTTGAATTTGTATGTTAATGAAAATGGCATGATAGAAATTTTGTTTTAATTTTTTTTTATTCTTAACTTGTTAAAACTAAAGAAGGGTGATTGTTAAATGGAAAATTTTGTTTGTTTCTCATGGCTTGTACAAATTCATCTAAGGTGAAAACACAAAATAGAGAACTTTACATACTTAAGTACTAAATTTTACACAGAGACAATTCTAAATTTGTAAAATAAATTACACACGAACACAACGATATAATAAATAGACGTTTTTGACACAGAGTTTTTTTTCGAGTTACCTAAACTAAGGCTTAGCTCACTTTTGCTATTGTCGAATGATTGTAAATCACACTAAATAATTTTCACGAATGACATATATATTTAGATAATAATAATAATAAAAATAATAATGATTTCGCGGAAAAGTAATGGGGTTTCGCATACAGTGGTTACACACAGCCTGCCGCCAAAGAGGGTAAGTATAGTTTTTTATTATATACATTTCTTAAATATTTAAAAATAAAGTTAGAATTATTTTATATTGAAACCGGACCATAGGTTTTGGGGGGGGGGACACTCAGTAGATATTTATTATTCCCTCCACCATAGTATGGAGGTGTATTAAGTTTGTCATTTCGCACCTCACAAAGTATATATTCTTGATCAGCATAAAATTCTATGTTGATTTAGCGATGTCCGTCTGTCTGTCCGCCCATCTGTGGAAATCACTCTAGCTTCTTAACGAATTGAAGTAGGTTGAAAAAAATTTACTTTTTGTATTGAAAATGGGCGATATAAGTCAGCGACATATTCACCGGAATGGTTTCAAATTTTTATATTTGCACATCGTAATTAGTACTACAACCTGTGGCAGAAAATTGCCTACGCAGGTCCAGGTCTTCGTATATTCGGTATTTTGATGATTTTAGCTACATTATTCACCGGAAAGGTTTCAAATTTAGTATTTGAAGTTCCTTATGGGTACAACAACCTGTGACAAAAATTACCTACGTAGTTTCAGGTTTTTGAATAGCCCCCATATATCGGTACCACCCTATGTTCGGTATTTTGATGATTTTAGCTACATTATTCGCCAGAATTCTTTAAGTTTTAATATTTTAAGTTCCGGAATTGTTTCAAATTTCGTATTTGAATGATATAATAGGTTTAACAAAAATTGCTATGCACGTCCACGTTTTTTATGGACCCCTATATAACGGTAATAGGGGGTTACAGCGTTCTTAAGATCTAAAAAGAATTTCCAACGACTTTTTTTAATTTTTAAAATTTCCAAATGGTGGAGGGTATTCAAAGCTTCGTCCGGTCGAACTTACTGCTTTTTGCATGGAAGCAGGCTCTGGGTATATATTTTTTTAGGATGGTGACAATCACCTGAAGATTTTAATATGAAAAAACCATCTGTGTTGATTTATATACAACCTTTTTCCATTTTCGGCAAATAATGATATAATTTTACTGTCCAATACCTTGTTTTGTGAGAAATTCCAAATGGACTTGATAGTTTTTGGAGGCATATATATTCGCAACGTGTAATACAGAGCTTTAGATTATTTCCGGAATCATTAATTTAAAAAATGGGTCATGGTATCCCATTTTTTATATAGTCCTTACCAGAAAATAATCCCCAATTTCAAGAATTTTTACTATTTAGTCATGTTTGAGTTCTAAATTTCGGGAAAGGCTAGTTTTAATGAATGAATGGGACCTATGAAAAGTCATTTTATAGAATTCCGTTAAAAATGAATTTTTAATCATAATTTAAAACTGGACCAAAAATGCCCCTTTGGTGAACCGCTTGGAGGTTAAATTTTTCTCTGGGTTGCAAGCTTAAAAAACCTGTAACATGTCACAAAACAAGACGAAGACAAATATCGAGGTCTCTCAACTCACACATGTATGTAAACGTTTGTCTGTATATTACCAATATGTCACAAATATGCAGTAGCATTTAGCCCAAAATATTTTTTAATGAAATGCAAATGTGAGGTTAAAAGGACCATATCCTGGAATGTATCAAAATTCGAAGTTGAATAGGTAGAAATGTATAATTCCGCAGTTAAAATGCTTTTATTCTGGTTATCTAATCAGAATCATTTCACGAACATCTCGTCGAATATGAGTTTTCAAATCATCATTATATAAAATCACAGTTTCGCCCAACACATAGACCATTTACTTTGCTTATATTTACAGGATACGTTTCAATTACCCAACAATAACATTGGATAACTCCAGGTCATAGTTCATTGTCTTACACGCTAGACATTTAACAAACAACGCTTCTTCGAAGAGGAAAAACATATTTTTTGTAAACATTGTTTTTTTTTTTTTTTTTTTTTTTTTTGAACTGCACTCAAAAACGCTTTTAACCAAAACAAATATTTTAAGGGCCAAAAAAGCTAATCAAATAAAGAACAAAACTTGCAACTCAAAACAGGCAGCAACAAATCAAAACTTATTTCATTTCACTCCACATCCACCATTCCAGAGATAAGTAGAGCAAGACAAACAGTTTTCGCTTGCAAGTGAAAAGCAAACGGAACCAAAAACCAAACATCAAATCAGGACAGAATAGAATAGAATGGAAAGTTGAAACTAAATTAAAAAATTCGTAAATTATTTAATCGAAATCAGAAACTAGGAAAATGAGGAAAATATTTAAATTTTTTTTGTTTATCTTGTTTGTTTTGTGGTCGTGGTGGTTGTGGAAGTGGTGTTGGCGTTGGTTGTGGGTCAGTGGAGGGTGGTGGTGGTTGGGTGTTTGGTGTCGCAGATTTTTTTTTGCTTTTGTTTAGGAGTAAGTCCACACCTCCCTTTGTGTAGTTAATTATTTAAAGAGTGCTTTATTGTGTTTAATTGAATACGCTTGTAAAAAGTGTTGATTTGGAAGTGTTTTTTTTTTTTTTTCATTGTTCAAAACCAAATTTTTGTGGAGAAAAAGTTTTACTGTGTGTTTCTTTTTATTTTTTTTTTTTTTTAATTTGATCTAACTTGATTATAAAAATCGGAATATGAGGTGGTACTTACTTTTCAACACCTTCTTGGGACTGCCCTTTTGTGGACTACCCTTTTGGGGCGAACCATGACGAGAGGCTGCTGTTTTCTTGGGGCTACCCCTTTGAGATTCAGATTCACGTTTGGTGATAGCAGGCATCAATTTCTCCCGGGTGGGGGAAGGCAGTAGGGCGCCCTCTTCAACATCTAAAGGGGATTAGGCAGAGGGTTAGTATGTTTTCCTTTTTTTATAACATGAGGTAAATTTGAAAGTAACCTGGTCCAGTGGTGCGTTCCAAATGATGACGTATATGACTAAAACGTGCTGGCAGTGCATTGGGTTCATCTTTGTTATCCAAGATATAAGCCTGTCCAGGAACTCTAGGCTTTTGGGGTTTCGAAACAGGAGTGGTTTTCTTATTGTTTTCCTGTTCTTTCTCCTCTTTGGTAATGGGTCTGAAAGAGAGAATGTAAATTAGAATATGCTGAGGGCTATTGTATTTACACAGGGTGCATAAATTCGAGTAGAGGGAAGTGAACTACAGAATGAGTGCAGAGCAAAATTTGCAGATACGTACCTGGCTTATAATTTAAACAATTTTATTTAAAAAATGGTTTGAGAAATAAAAATATATTGTATTGAATTTCTTCTAATATTTTTATGTAAATCTGCTGTTAGAGAATTTTGATTGTATTGCTGATTCATATGTAGTCTTTTAACTATTTTTAGTTAGAAAGTATCTGCCAATGAAGCTTTTGAAAAAATAATCTTTAAAAAAACGTAATTTTTTACCGTGAAGTTCTTAATTTGAAAAGAACCGGATGCTTATTTCGGATTTTATTACCGTTTTGGTTATTCAAAACTTTGACCCTTTGTGGGGAGGTACAAGAAGGAGTGGAGCAATATATTCCATCTTCACACCAGATCTTGGGTTAGTAAAAATATTGTTATGTGTGTAATTTGAAGACAATCGGACACATAATTCACATTTTATATGCGTTATAATTATTCAAAATGTTGAACCTTTGTGGGGGAGGTACTTGATGGAGGGAACAGATATTATCAATTTTCCCAGCTTACCTAGCACTGATGCAAATATTAGGATATGTAAAGTTGGAGCCAACTCGGATTATCCCTTCTCTTTGGGGGGAGGTACCAGAAGGAGTGGACCGATATTGCCCATCTCCAAACTCGATCTAAGTTGGATAATAATATTACGATGTGCCAAGTTTAGGCCAAATCAGATACTCCCTTAGATAGTTATCGGGCGCACCAGCCAGACAGACTGACCTTTACATCGACTTGAAATGTCCTGAAAGGGATTTGGTCCAAATAGACCTAGGGTAAAAAAACTTTATTTCGATGAGGCACTTTTTGGCCGTATCAAATGATATATACCCTCTCTAGGGATATGACAGAGGGTATAAAATTCAATGTAGGGGGGCATTGACTATATTTCCTTGGAGACCTTGTATTCCGTCTTGTTAAATCATTTTTCTGAAGCAGTCCGGAAAAGTGTTCTTCAATATACAGGTAACTTCACCTAGACCCAAGTATGATCAGATCATTCTAAGATATTGAAATTACTCCAAACCCAAGGCAACCAAAAGGTTCACCGATTCAGCGGTGGGGAGTGTTTTAAACTTAAATTTCATTTTGAATTCCTCGTTGTCAAGAGATATAATTAATCCACAAAAAGTATCTGAATCTAGAACCTTATGTTTTGAAATATGGACAACAAGATACTTAAAATAGCCATACTTCCAGAAGGCTACCTTAAATTCGAGTAGAAATTGACAACCGCTCGAATTAGAGCGGGAGCGCTGCTAGCAGTAGAAAATATCGTGCATACACAATTTTTCGATGTCACTCAAATAAAAAAATCGCTAGATATCGAGCAGATTCTACTCTTGCCGAATACTATATTAGTTTTTGTATTGGCATGTATGGGGATGTCCTCAACCCACAATTGAAATCGAAACAAAACCAAACATTTTGAAGAAACCAAATCCATCGGTACCTTACTTCGCTGTTTCCCTCTTCTTGGCTGTTGTACACGATCACCCTCAGCTTACAGCAGTATTAAATCGCAATAAACACATACAATAACACATAAATTAACATTAACATATTTTTCTCTGCTCGATTTAACTTTGAGAGTATGCTCTATTTCGAGCATTACGACTAACATTTTAATTTTTCAAATATGATTAACTCGCGAGTGCTATCACATAAAACATGATACTAAGAGCAAACCTCGTACAAAACTCACGCTCTTGTAGCACTCCCGATCGCAAGTACATTTCACTCCTGAGTAAAAACTATCAAATTTAAGCTCTGCCAATGTCCACTCCGAAATGGTTACTTTTCTGAGATATCTTTGTATTGGTTTTATTGAAAAGTTAATTTTTTGGATCCACTCGAAATGGTTTCAAAATGCATTTCTCGATACGTCACTGCCACCCGCAAAATAAATGTGCACTCGAGGATGCGTGTTTACACAAGAAAAATCTTAGGAAACATCACTTACTATACGTCCAAAAATAAATTTCAATAATGTTCTAAAATCGAATTTATAAGTCATTAAAATCCGTTGCTCTATAACCAAAGAAAAATTTTCGAAGGACTTAGTTCATCCCACTACTCAATTTCTTCCGCACCCTGTACGAATAGTGCCATTGTCATACTTACCTTTGCATGGTGGAGGCCAAACAAAGCGACGAAAGGGAGCTACGCTTCGATACCTGATCCCACAGATCTTTTTGTTTGTTATACAGTTCAGGATCGATTTCAGTACCCCAACCACGAGACTTTAGCGATAACATCAAAAAAGTAAAACAAAAACGACAAAATGTTATAATAATTTGCCTTTCAGCCGCAAAAACTCACAAAGAAAATCTTTCCACTGACCTTGTATTCTCCAGCCTTTTTACGCAACTCTACTACCTCTTTGAACCACAAATCCAAGTTCGGTTTCGAATGTGGCGGAGCCGAGCCGTTCATGATGATCTCAGCCTCCTGCTTGGCATGCTGTCGCTTATTGTCGCCATCGGTTACCTCCTCGAAACCGAAGTTCTCCTTCTTCGTAATGAAGTGATTGGGTCGCTCCTGGTCAATCAGTTGGGAGAAGGGTCGGGTGGTAACCTTTCTCTCCTGTATAGTTACTTGTCTAATGGTATTTTTCGGTTTGGTTTGGTTGATTGGTTGGTTGTTAGATTGTTTGGTTGATTATTTGAAAATTTTGTGCAATTTGATTTTTTCAAAATTGTTTTGGTTTTGTACATATTTGAGTTGAGTCATTTTGATGGTTATTTTGTTTTTGGTTTAAAAAAGCCAGTGCAGTTTTTAAAGCCATTTTTGGAATATTTCGTTTTATTATTGGGTTGATGGGGGGGATCAAAGGTGGTGTTTTATTTTATATTTGCAAAAAACAGAGATGCCATCGTTTAAAAGTTGATGATACGATTTTGAGGATTTTTTGTTTTCGATATTTTTGTATTAACAGATGATGAGGGGAGTAAAGCGAGATTTTATTATTTGATTTGAGTTTGTTTTATTTTTGGTTTAAAGCGTCATGTTTTTTTTTTTTCAGTTTTATTTTTGGCATTCGCAAGCATCCGTACAGTTGTGTTGGCACATGTTTTCAAGGATATTTTTAAAAAACCATTTGTTTTGAGGGGATTTCATATTTTTTTGTTTGTTTTTTGGTTTTGTACGGTGAGAGAATAAATCACAAAAAAATAAAACAAAAATAAAATTTCATGTAAGTTTATTAATTGACTTTGAAAAAAGAGAGACACAATGTTTCATGATGAGCAACTACGGATGAAGGGTGCATTTGAATTTTGGAATTTTAGTGGTGGTGGTGGTGATGATTCTAGTGGCAAAACAAATCCCTCTACTTGATTTCTTTTTTTTTTTTTTTGTTATTTACACAATGAAACTTGAGAGAAACTTTCTAGGTGATACAAATTAAAAAATAGTAACTATTTTACAGTAATTACAAAAACAAGGTAAGCGTTTGGGGGAAAGTATACCAAAAGAGTCTTCGAAATGAAAGCTTATCGTCTGTTTGGACAGTTGAATGTTACGTTTTAGAGAAAATTGACAAAAAATAGGTTTCATTGAATTACATGTGAAAGTCCACTCGAACTACACTCTCTTAAAAATATTGGCAACATTACAGATAAAAACGCAGAGAATATTTCTAAAACCTAAGCGACCTAATTAAGCACCTTTAAATCATTGTTACACCCTTTAGGGGTATCTACCATTTTATATGGGCACACTGCATCTCTACGGTTTTAGAATCGGTTTAAGAACATTTGAAGTCGATCTAGTGATGGCGGTCCTTCAGTATCCGATTTATCTGAAACTTCACCCATCGTATCAGATAAATCGTATCAGTGGAATGTCCTAAAGATTTTTAGGAAAAATTTGGTGATTAAGAAAATTTAATAATTTTAAAATATTTGACAAAAATTTCCAGGACGAGAATTTTTGTTTTTTAATATTTTACAAAAATGCACCGGCTATAAAAACTGTGGTTTAAAAAATACCTTTTAAGGGCAGGCAGGACTTTATAATTTAAAAAAAAAAATATAGTAATTCCTGGCTATATAAATTGTGTATTCAATGTTTTTTTTTTTCCAAAAACCTGCTGTCTATGTGGAACACGTATTTTAAAATAGAATGTTTTGTTGATTTTTCGTTATATATTTTTAGACAAAAAAAATATTTTTCAGGGATTTGACGGATAATAAATTTTGAATTTATTAAAATATTTAAAAAAAAACTACCTGGATATGTACAGGGTGGCGCAAAAGTAAATGTCCGATGTTTTTGGTGCAATTAAAAAAACCTTGATTCTTCTTGTAGATTATTTTTATTTGACCTTTTTTTACATCAAGTCGAGAATATGATGTCATGTTAATGGCCGCCGACACAGATTATTCTCATGTAAGCCCTTTTTGTGACATTTTCCATCACATTCTTGACGGATATTGTCTATAAGAGCTGAAAGAGTCTGAGGCTTTTTGAGATAAACCCGCGACTTTAAAAACAAAAAAAGTCTGGAGTGGTCAAATCAGGCAATCCTGCTGGCCAGTGCCAATCACCAAAACGGGAGATTAGGCGCTCGGAAAAATGCATCCTTCAGCATATCGATTGTGGCACGTGTAGTGTGTGCAGTTGCACCGCACATTTTTTCCAATCCGAACCAATCAAGTTGCGTCAAACAGAAGTCGCTTTTCATTGCTTTGTAGCGCTCACCATTCACAGTAACCGACGACTTCGAAAAAAAAAGGTCCGATGACTCCTCCAGCGGAACATAACACCACACAGTCTAAGATTTTCGAATAAAAATCATCTTCTTCTTGGTGGTGATTAAGGATGGCTTGAGTGTATGTTAGACGCGATTGACGGTCAGCACCTAACAGCTGATGTACCATCTAAACCTTGTATGGAAACATATTCAAATCTTGTACCAAAATTCGCTGTAAGACCGTCGACCATTTGCGTGGCACGTCGTCTTGTCGACGGCATTTCCATGATATCCTCGGCTACTGCAGAACGGAAACTCCGGGGTCTGCCTCGCCTGGCCGAATCATTGGCTGTGCCACTTTCTTCGAGGCGAGGGGCTGAACGTCGCAGTGTTTCACCAGTAGGCGTTGGTCGGCCAGGAAATCTGCGACGGAATTCACATTGTGCCAAAGTCAGCGACCGAATATTGGTCAAATAAATAGTCACCAGTCAAAGGGCGGATTTTCAGTGCTCCAGAAGCGTTAATTTCGCTTATTTCTTGGTGGTAATTAAGGATGGCGATTTAGGCGGACAGCAGCTAACAGCTGATGCACCATCTGGACTTTGTACTGAAACATCTTTAAATCTCGTACCAAAATTCGCTGTAAATACCGTCGACTCTTACCCATTTGCGTGGCACGTCGTCTGGTCGATGTCGACTGCGTTTCCATGATATCCTCGGCTACAGCAGCAATATTCTCTGCAGAACGGATACTCCGGGGACATGAGGAACTGATATGAGGGGCCGTAAAATTCATGGAATTTTCTGATAGGAGGATTACTTTTGCGCCCCTTGTATACATATATAGTCCATTTTTTACATATTTTCGTGGATCTTTTTCACCGACTTCCAGTGTATATATAAATATTAGACTTTTTTTTAAATATTTTACAATATTTTCCCTGTATAAATAGAGGATCTTTAAGAAATATTTTGAAAAAATTCCAGGTTATTGTTTACTTTCAAAGACAGGATTTTTTAAGAATTTGAATTTTTAACAAAATTTTTACAATTATTTCCAACTATAATTGTGATTTTGTTGTTAATGTACTTCAAGGAATTCCCTTGGATTTAAAGAAAATATGTTCCAAGCTCCTTTCAGGCATAAAAATAGTTTAATATCTAATTTAGGACATAGATTTCTGAATGTGTAAATTAAGGATAAAGTTGTAATTTCAGTGAATTTATGCCACATTATTTGAAAAATATCAATTTTCGTAGCTCTTGTTCAATACAAAAATAGTCTGTATCCTTTCGGACAGGAAGGTTCCAATATAATAGAGGTTAAATTGGAGTTTGCCTATTCTCATTATCCTGAGCGAAGTTTCCCTTCTCCATACATTTAGATTCTATTTCAATTTTGTGAAGGTCTTGTCAATCACAAAATTTTTGCTAAAGGTATACTCTTCCAAACGCATTACAAACACTTAAATAATAATTCAAATTAAAATAATAATAGATCAGGTATGGGAAGTTATGAAACTAAAAATGAAACATAAATAAATAGAAGCTTAGGAATAATTTGCATACTTTTCAACCGGTTTTCTATCTTCGGCATCGCTAACCAGCGGCTCCAACTCATGTAGCGTGGCTAAAATAAAAATATATTTAACATTTAAATTGATTTCTTTTAAGAAAAGAGGTCAGTCAAACATAATTCATCATTCATTCATTTTGTGTTTTTTTTTTTTTTTTCGTTATTTTACTATTCGATTCCAGCCGATTACAAAAGTTGGCTTGAAATTCATTTTGAGGATTGTCATCATATTTCGTTAATTTCTTTTCATTGACTATTTGAGTTTCAAACAAAAATGAATAAATGCATGGCAAAAATGTATGAAGGATATGTTGTAGATTGATAATTGGTTACGACAAATTCAATACTTCGAATAAGGAATAAGAATACGAATACCAATACTAATACGAATAACAATAGTCAATAGTGATTAAATATTTAAATTGAGTAGAAGAAGTACTTAGTATGTTTGCAATAAAAGTTACAACATTTTTTTCTGAGTCTCTCTCATACTTTTTTTTCAATTACATTTTGTCGAATTCAAATTTGTTTGATTAGTAAATAAATTAACAACAACAGCAAATTGTATTTCTTTCTTTAGTTTTTTAGGTTTTAGTTTCTGTCTGAGTTTTGTCATTATTTCGATCTTTTTCTTATTGGTTTGGTGTTTATTTTAATTTTCAACAGTTCAATTTACACACAGAGAAAGGAAAAGAGAAGACATAACAAAACTAAAGAAGGATTTTTTCTGTCTTTGGGTTATTTTCGTAACGTTAATTGACACACAAAATGAAAACGACAAAAAACCAAACTAAGATAACAACAAAATAACTCTTCGTTCACAAAATTAAACAGCTAGGAATTGTAGTAATTTGGAAAAGATAGGCATAGACATAGTAAAAGAAGACATGACAGATAGGTAGACAGACAGTTAGTCGGACAGACAGAGATTAGGGGAAAGAGAAGAGACAAAACTAAAATTAAATAACATCTCCTTCAACTAGGTTAAGTTAGTAGTTACAGACAGTAGTAGTTCACCGAGGCCAGAGACCTCTGGGGAAACCAAAAAAAAAAAAAAATAATAAAAACATTTTAATATAACAACAAATTATTGAACAATATAGAACGAAATTGGAACCAATCGATTTTGAGTTTCCATGTTGGTGTTAGTAGTAATACATAAATGTAATGCAAAACGAAAATGATTTTTATTTTGAGTTGGTCATAGAAAATTATGAAGATGTGTGAAATGAAATGGCTAAATGTTACTTCTTCCAAGGATTTAGATAAAAATCTCATAGAATAATATAAGGTTTAGATTTATATCCCTGACCCCTATAAATCCAATCATATCCCTGCTTTATTTTGATCCGCATTTCAGAAATATCTCACATAATAATATTTCTCCTTCTGGTACCTTCGCCTACATGTTAAATATTTTGAATGATCACAACTCTATTAAAATGTGAAATGATTAGCTATATTATACCCCAGCTTGATGGTCACAGAGGGTAAATGAGTACCCAGTAGGAAATATGGAGTCAACATAGCTACTTCTGGTATAACCTATCAAAAAGAATCCAATTAAAAAAAAAAAAAACAAGTTATAAAGCAACCCTCAGCATTATCCTATATATTTCTTTGTACTAGATCTTGTATATGTAGAAAGATAGTACCAGGGACGTGCACAGAGTAAGGTACCTTCAAGATGGTTAGTTTTCAGAAATTCTGAATATATCTATAACTTTGGAATTCAAAAGATTTGCCCATTATTTTCCCGGTTTTCTTGCTTATCTAATATAAATATTACCACAGACAAAAATTGTTGGTTTTTCGTTTCTTGCCTGCCCTGCATTATACTATGGAGGGTATATGAATTTCGTCATTCCATTTGTAAATTCCCTATATTCGGTATTTTTACGATTTAGATCACATTTTCTAACAGAATTCTTTAAAATTCGGTATTTTTAATTTCTAATAGGTTGTAGCTCGCTCGACGGAGCTTTGTCTAAATAGGTCAACGTTTTCTTCAGACCCCATACAACGGTAGCCGGTATTTTTAGGAATTTAAGTCAAATTTTTAAGAGGAATTGTATAAAATTTGGAGCATAGACTATATAATGGGTTCTACACCATGAGGCAAAACTTTGTCTATAGACCCCATATAACTGAACCTAACGTCATTCGGTATTTTGACAATTTAGATCACATTTTCTAAAAGAATTGTTTAAACTTCGGTACTTAGGATTAATAATGGGCTCTACCTTGTATGGCAGATCATTGTCTGTATAGGTTCGCGTTTTGTTATAGCCACCCATATTTCGATTATTCCCGATATTGATGATTTTACCCCTATTTCTTCGTTTAAAATTCGGTATGTAGAATTTGTAATGGATTCTGTCTTATCTGCTGGAATATTTGGTATTTTGATGATTTTAGGCACATTTTTAGCAGGATTTTGTAAAATGGAATTTGAAACTAGTAAAAGATAAAAATCACTTTGCAGAAACCCGGTACAGATACTTCTTCGCCCTCTGCGAGATATACAATTTTTATAATTTTACATATTTTCCCCTTTGTAGAAGTACCTGAAGCGTTCCCCACAATGGACCGATATTACCCATGGAATGGACCGATATTACCCATCTTCGAACTTGGTATAAATTTTACAGAAATGTGTGGATATCCCTAGTTTGGGCCTAATCGGATAATCCTTTCAAGAGTTACTGTGCCAGCCATGCAGACAGACATTTTTGGGTATTACGATAAATACATTCTGTATCTATACGGCTGAGGGTATAATCGTTCACGATGTTAGACGACATCGTAATATCTCTCAGACACTTACGTGGCCAGAACTGCCTTTCGAAACAATTTTAAGTAAAATATTCTGGAAAAAATCTTATAATTTACTAAAAATACAGATGGGCTCGGTACCTCTCGGTAGGGTTAAATATAAATTAAACAAAATATCAACATGGAAACAATGTAACATATGATGGGATTATATAACTGTCGCCAAACCCGCCTGATACATTGAAATTTGTGTCTTCACACATCGTATAAAAAGAACGGACTCAAAGACCTAAAACGGTAAAAATTGTAGACAATGCATTATGGAAAAATAGTTGATGTGAAAAATATTAAGAGGCGTTGCTCACGACAGAGAATTTTTAATTAAACACAGTTTTACGAATAACCTTGGGCTTAAAAATAGACTTAGTTGTACCAAACTTAAGTTTGGTGCCCACCACTCCCACAAACATTTTTAATAATGGCGAATCTTTTATGAGTCAAAGAGGGAGCACAACCAGTGATCTGTGTCCATTAAACATTAATGTCCTCAAACTGATTATTTAGACTTTATAGGGCTAGAAGGTAAATTTCTCTTGTCTATGTACGGAAAGTATGATTTAGTAATATGATTTTCGAAAAAAAGTCTTGTATATATAACAGTATTTATATATTCCGCCACAGAGTAAGACTCAGAGAGCTGTTAATGTAGAATATAAATGCTAGAAGTTGACTTTCAAGCTTTGCTTTCTGTATTTTTATTTTTTTTTTTTTTTTTTTTTGTATTTTTATGCAGAAACTACATCCTTCGACAACCAGGACCTCTACATCTATTTTTCGTGCTTTCATCCCCCAAGAATTTATTTTCTGCTTTCTATTCACTTCAAGCAGTCCCTATTTATTGTTATTTCTAAGTTTCTTATTCGAAATATTTATTCAATTTAAAAAGATGATATTTTATATTTATTTATTTATTTTTTCTCAATTTATGAAAAGCTTTCTCTATAAATGATGATTATGCAATGCTTTCTGCTTAATGATGGGCAATGGGTAAACGAAAACTATTATACAATTTTTTGAATTATAATAACAAACTAAAGGACAATTTAGGACCGGTAAAATTCAAATCAAAAACTGAAACACAAACTGTTTACATGCTCCCGCTATTCCAAAAACTAAAGAATGATCTAAAGGATAAACCATTAAACAACAATAAACGAAACTAAACTAAATTATATAACCCAACGTTAGCTACTCGTTGCCGTCTATGATTATTGGGTCCAAACTAAACATTTATATTAAAATTTGATTAAATTTCTCTAGTTTCAATAATAAAACAATAACTTTATAAATCACCATTTAGTTTGGACATTTTCGTCGTATTTCGGTAGTTACATGTAAAAGTTTCTTGTTTTCTTTAATTACTTAACTTCAACAACAACAGCACTTACTTGAATCGCCTAAAATTGGTCAAACATGGCTAAAAAGCATTTATATTCGATTAAAGCAAATTTCATAAAAAAAACGAAAATTTAGAACAATTTGGGTGTCTTTCTTTCGTTTTCCATTGTTTTCTTGTTCTTGCAATAAAAAGGAACATTTTTGTTTTTTTTTTTTTCTTAAAGTTTTCAAAAATTTCGTTCTATATGAAGAAAATGTGATTATGAAGAACACAAGAGGATACAGTGTCTTTGAAGAATACAAAGAAATATAAAGACGAACACAAATAGAGACAGAGACAAACACACAGGGAAAACTAAATCAATTCGAAAAGCAAGGAAACGAAAAAATATGGAGACGAACAGACAGAAAAGGCGGCTTTCAGTGCCAAAGGGAAATGAAAAAGCACAGAGATAACAAATTGAAAATAAATTTTCCTGAGCCCTTAAAAAAACCCTACGTTTCCTGTGGGACCAAATAGATTATAATTTATTTTTTTTTTTCTGGAATTTGTATGATTCCATTTGATAGTAATTTTGCAGTTTGGTAGGGCAGCCTAGCAATTTCAAAGAAAATGGATTTTTTCGTTATCTTTGGATTGAAAGCAACAAAGAAAAAAATGGGTTGACACAAAGATGTTCAAACAAAAATTGAAGTAATATTACTTTTGGTCTATGTAATTTCCGGATTCACAATTCATATAAGCTCTTATTGAACCATAAAATGTATAATTTGATAAATACATTTAAATCATTTTCTATGACCCCTACCCAGAGATACATAAAAATATTTTATTGGCATTACTCCAGAACCTATACGAGAATCTATACGTTTAACAATTTTTATCACTTTTTTCATTAGAAACCGCTCATATTTGCATGTTAAATTTTATGAGAATATCTACATAACTCTCTGGACAGAATAGTTCTCTCACAGCGTACCTAACTTTTCGCTGTTTTAATAGCTTTGCCGTTAAAATAGTACGGACAAACAGTGGTGGCAATCGATTATCAAAAAGAATCACAAGATCCAGAATGGTGCAAAAAAAGTTAAACCAAGTCCAAGTTTTTGGGTTCCATAACTGTATGAAATAAATCTTGGACCTTCCTGGCTTAAGGCATCCAGAACTCTCATATCTCTTTTGAAATCATATCTTTGATTATCCAACCCCTGAATTGAATTATCTAACGAATGCATTTTGCACATCTCACAGAAGCCTTCAAAATTCATGCCTTCTAAAGTCCCTCTTAAAGATCAAATATGTCTTGGGTCACCTTAGACCTAGTCAAATATAAACCTGCTTAAATCAACCGAAATTTATAAGCCGCCGTAATTCCAAGACTGTTAGTTCCTTTAAACCATATCGATAATTTTTAGATCCTTCATGCCTCATTAAACCTTTAACTGTCCGGAAATGGTAGTACCTGTGAATATCAACCCTTTAGGAACCCACTCAAAGGAACCCATAATTCTTGGATCTCCCTGTCTTAAGGTATCTAGGACTCCCAGTTTCCCTCCGAAATGATCTCTTTAGGAACCACCTTGAACTATCTCATGAAGTGTCCTCATCTCCTTAAGCCATGAAACTAAATAATTATGAACGCCCTTGAATCTTTCGAAACTCGTGAATTCTCCGGTTCTTATAAAGCTACTCTTAATATGCCAGCATTCCTTGGGACCCTTGAAATATGGTCAAATATGAAATTCCTTAAAGCCTATCAAATCTTTTAAGAATCTGTCTATGCCATTAGGAACCTCCTTGAACTCTCCATAACTATAAACCCCGGGCTTTGCAAAACTCATGGAGTGTTCGAGACTCTTTTTCTCTAGGAAATGAGTATATTTCGGCAACATGTAAATTTGGGCCCCTTTCTTGCCTTAATAAGCCCACGAAATATCTATATCTCTCAGTATTACAAGATGACCAATTTTGAACCCCCTAACAGCTTCCGACATGCCTCCACAATTATTTACAAAGTCCCCGGAAACGAAGCAATTATGAACCCTCTTCAAGCTTCATTTTTTGGTCTTCAGATCCCTATAAAACACATCTCTTAATTCGTTAGAAATTACTACCACTCATGGAATTGGGAATCGTTAGACGCCTGCCTATACATGTTTTGGGAAAAAATCTACTTGGACCTTAAAAAGGGGAAAGAGATCAAAAGAGAAATAGAAACAGAACTCTATATACAATATGTCTTAAAGTATATAAATGTCGCCTTCTGAAAACAAAGGGTTTATAAATAAGTGGCATCGTTACAATCTATTGTTTATAGTAAAATATTGGCTAATATTCAGTGAAGTTTGTAAAAACTGTTGACCTTTCAACCAAAAATATTTTGGGCCTATGCTCAGGGTCTTGATTTACACTGGAAATTAAAAGAGCAATACTTCAAAGCTTCCTTCTTTAAAGAGATTTCGGAACTAGGCTCGCAAATATTCCTTCTGAGAGAAAGGGATATCTAAAATTTTTTTAAAATTTATTTGACTAAGGACTATCCCAATTATAGTTAAAACATTTCTAAATACAAAATGTTTTGGGTATAAGGATATTTCAATTGTCGGAAAAGCACAGGCTAGGAGTCATTTCAAAAGACTTATAATCTTAAAATCGTATATAAGATTATCGATGTTTTTATCTTGAATATTAGTACCGAAAACTATAAATTGGTATGCTACAACTATGTATATTTCATTTTAATATTTTTCAACTGCAAAGGCAATATATCGACGACTTGCGAGAGAGAGGGAGAGAGAGACATATAGGGAGAGAGAGACATTTAATGACATATATGTAGTTTAGATAGTCCCATTAATAATATACTTCAAGAATATACCTTATCTCGCATAAAAAGCCTACCACAAATGTAGTCAAGCCACATTCTAGAATTTTTCAGAACATATTCCCGCAATTCTAAGAATTGAACTATTTCTAATTTTTAGACAGACTTTGCACTTAATATTTATGACAACTTTGATGTCGACTAACAAACTAATGATTAACTACACATCTAGAGCAGCTAGGCACAAATAAATTAAAATGAAATCTAAAAACTAATACTACATCCTATTTAAAAAACACTATGGAAAACGTTTTAAATTCCTAACAATTCTTGTGGATGTACCGCATTTCGGGTCAATTCTCGATTTTCCCACAAACTGAAGCAAAAATACTGCTACGATTTTGGTAAAATTATTAGTTATGTGAAACTGCAAAAAGCTCTAAAGTATTTCAAAATAGAATTAGAAAACAAACAAAATTTAAGAAATAAAATTTAAAAAAAGAAAGTAATTCTTTTGTCACAACATTCTTTTTGTAAGTTTCGTTTGTGGTTTAAATAAATGGTTTTGTTTTTTTTTTATTTTCGTAAAAAAAGCGACAAAACTAAATGAAATGTTTTGGTCGCACCTTCTTTCTGGTTGGTTGTACGTTTTTTGTGAACAGATGGCATTGCAGCCAGCCGGGAAAGATCTGGTTGGTGCTGTTGATAGCCATGTTGGCCTCGAATCGCACCCAACGATATCGATTTTTTCGGTTGGAATTCTTGCTGTTGCTGTTCTTTGGCTGTTGTTGTTGCTGTTGTTCTTTGGACGCTTGACCCAGATTGATCTCGTATTCTACGTACATTGGGCCAAACGAATTGCAAACGATACTCTGTGCTCAACTTTGAGATGGTCTTTTTGAATAGGCCATTCGACTCACCCGCCTGCAAAGAAACACAAGAGAATATACAAAAAAAGAAAGAAAGAAAGGAGAGAGATAGACAAAATAATGGTAGTGTCAAAATATTCCATACAGCCACACACACGCACGCACACAAACACACACACAGTCAGACAGACAGAATTTTGGTGGGATCCAACATCAAGTACACAACACACCCATTGGGCACCCACAGGCAAGCATAATTTTGGAATATTAAAAATGATAATAGAAAATTGTCGAAGGATTTCCATCATCACGCATTTCGCATTTGCATCCAGTTACGGCCCGATTTCGTTGAGGAATTTGGAAAAAAGGAATACAAAAAACCAAACGGGAAAAAGAGAAAAAGAGAGAGACAGACAAAATACAAGTATTTTTTGATAAATTTATAGATTATTTTTAAGGGATCTATAGTTGTATGATTTAATTGTTTATTTATTTTATAATTATATTACAGTTCATAGTTACATTTGAAAGAAAACAATTTTTTATTCAATTACTATTCACGATACAAGGTGCATATTTAATACATACATAAAAATGAAGTAAATATATATTTTTCAAAATATAATATAAAAAAGATTGTAACCATGCAATTTGAAACAAAAAATGTGAATTTTTTATTTGAAAAAAAAACCTTAATCTATACATCTATACATTTTTTATATTTTATATTATAGGACAAATCCATAGAATGCTTAAAAAATAAATAAACTATATATATGAACATATGTAGAAATGTTTACAGCAGTAAAACATCAAAGATCATTTACAAGGAATTTCTAGAGGCTCACTTTGGAAATCCCTAAAAAATTTCTATACATAAAAAATGTATCTTATATCACAAAGACCGTAAAGGTTTTAAATGAGTAGTTTTGGAAGAAAAATCTATGAAGGATACCTTTCAGGTCTATGCGGAATGTCTTGTCTATCATGTCTGTGAACCGATCTAAAATAAGGACTATCATTTATATAAACTTTAATGACTTCATATTGCTCGAAAATAAGATTTATTTTAAAGATGCTCCATTATAACATTATTGAAAGGATTCTCTTAAGGGCGTTTCTAAAGACTTCCTTCATGTCATCTGAGATTGATTACTTTCAGTTATTCCAAGAAGCCTTCATACGTCGTATTAAAAAGTTTAAATAGTGGATCTTAAAAAGGATCTATTAAGACTACTACTACTACCAACTATTTAGGTTGTACGCAGGACTCATGTCAAGTCGTCAGTAAGGAGAGATTATGTCTGCTTTAGGATTTCTACATGGATTTCCAACTGATCACGACTAACGACTACATACTGGCTCAAGACTAGGACTATCTTCAAATCGACTATAAGGACTGTTTAAAATAACCGTCTTAAGAGGGTCTTTACTGGTTCCCTATACTGACTTTTGGGACAGTTTAAAAATATTTCTTTGGGGCATATTTAAACACTGTCCAAAAGCTGAATAATTAGACTTCTGCACATCGTTTATTAAAGATTTCAAGGGTCGTCCATAAAATCTATCTTCAGCTGGTCTTGAGTTCGTCTATAAAGACAGGTTGTCCCCAAAGTCTTCCATAGATTATCATTAACACTTCCCCAGGTCGTCTAGTAGGGCTAAAGGGCATAAAGACTCCCGTTTTAAGGAAGAAGGTCCACTTACAGGCTTCTATATAAACACTATCTTAAGAACTGTGATAACCTATACAGGTCCACCAATATGCTCCGTTTAAGTGGCCCATGAAAACTCCCTTTAGACCATCCATACAGACTCCCATAGAATTGCCTACAGGACCTTTATTAAGACCTCTACGTATTTTTATACCCTCCACCTTGAAAAGAAGGGTATATTAATCGTCATTCTGACCTTAAACATTTGGCAGAACAATTTGTATTGTGTCTAGGATGATTAGTATTGAAAATGAAATATATTGGTCCACGTTTTGTAATAGCCGCCATAAAACGGTACCTCCCGATATTCGGTATTTTAATGATTTTTGCCACATTTTTCCATGGATTTGTTCAAAAATTGGTATTTGTAGTCCATAATGGGTTCCAGCTCAGGCGGCAGAAGATTGAAATTTAGTCCACGTTTTGCTATTGCGTACATATAACGACACTCACCGATACTCGATATTTTGAAAATCCTACTCACATTTGCCCACGAAATTGTTTGAAATTTGGTATTTTTGGTAAAAGATTTGGATTTCAATACTTGAAGTCTATAAAAGTTCCCGTTTGATATGGCCCCCATACAACGGCTTCATTTAACAGCATTATCCGAACTATCTTACTGGTATTTGTAGTATAAAGTGGAACACGTTTGCAATTAGATACTTTTACATTAAAATATTTTATTTTCCCAAAGGAGGATAGTATAAAAAGATCGGCCCGGACGTACTTAATGTTTTTTACTTATATAACCAAAGGTTGCCTTAAAATACTTGCTACAACCGGTCTACAATGGTTTTCTTTATATTTTCTTTCAGACCGTCCACATAGACTTCCTCTAATCCCTTAAAGACATACAAAAGTTTCCCGGTGTGTTCCAAACTGGTCAGTCTACAAATACTTCCAAGCACTTTCTTCTAGTCACCCATAAGTACTTAAGATTTTTGAATCACTAAAAATCGGTTGGACAAATTAGGCCACTGAAAAACGTGATTAAAATATGGGATTTTAATTTAACGGCAGTTCCCCTAAAAACTTACCGCGCTGTTACATTTATGATTCATAATATACTTGCTATGTCTCAGAGTCGGCGAAAAATAAGAGACACAAGGCGGAGGCATGACATTAAAGCCGAATCTAACATCTGACCAATATTTCTCTATATGTTTTTGTATCAAAATACATGGGTTGAACAAATCTTCATGAACATTCAAAACATTGTTTTCATATATTTTTATTCGCATCAAGCACTCTATACGTATACTTAAGAATTACAAATAATATTATGTATACGATAGACAGCACTATTCCGCTATCATTTGTATTGTCAAACCAAGGTTGGATTTTTGGCTCTTTATCAAAAAACAACCATCCTTAATTTTTTTTCTTGAAATGAATTACAAGCAATATGTCTCCCCATGCCACCATCAAAATAATCGTATTTTATTTCCCTTCAAATACAACGCAATCCATGTCGCCATACAAATGTCCATCCCTCTAAACTACAACTCCATTTAAGACTTATTTATTACGACAATCAAATTATGTAGCTGTAAATGACAGCTAAATTTATTGTGTTTCTTGAAACATCTAAAATTATTACATCTTCCATTACCTCATCATTCTAAACTGTCACTCAATTTACAAGCGGCCATCAAGTGTCCCTTCCACTTGCAATCTGTGATTTATTCGATTGAAAGAGGAAATGTGGATTGAATGCAGCTTCATACACACACACAAACAGCAGCTGAACTGTTTTCAATATACAAAACAATAAATTCTCATTAAATTATCCAGCCGTCTGTAATCGAGCCTAATGTCAGATGTGACAAATGGACATTTTATTTTCATTTTGGGTTTAATTTTTTTTTCTACTCTTTCTGTGTCGAGGCTTGTCGACATTAACAAACATCTCGGTCAAGTATTTGGTTTGACAAGCAGCCGGCTGCAACGATTGGCTGTGGCATGCACACACAAGGATGTGAAAAGCTGGAAAGATTGATGGCAATGTCTTCGTCTTCGATGTTGCCATGTGCAGAGCCGTAAAAGAGTAGCAAATGTTTGGAACACACCAACATGTGTACAACCTTACATTATATTGTAATATTCTACAAATTGACAACAATTTCACATTACAAGGCATTTGCAAGTGGCTGGGACAAGTGGTATGAAAACACAAACCTCGCCCAACATTGTAGTGCTTGGATTTATTTGTTTTTTTTTTCTTCTTCTTCTCATTCTTCTTTTTTAGCCAGACATTAAAGAGATTGCAAAAACTAAAAACCTCAAAGAGGGCTAGCGGCTCATAAGTTGTGGCGGACGGACGAACGCACCAGCAAACCACTTGAAAATTATAAGCCCCTTATAATCTATAATCAGCCACATAGAGAACAGACATCCTATAAATACAAAATACATGACGGATACAAAAAAAAAAATAAACACAACAAAACCAACTGTAAAGAAAAACGCTTTAAACATACTTAGATACTACACTTCTTAGACGCTACACTCATACTTATGTACACAAGAAGAACATGTTCGATACTCTTAATCGATAAATATTACATACAACACATAGGCGAACATCAATTGTTGGAGAGAGAGAGAGAGAGAGAAAAAGAAAATAACAAGAGGGCAATGGAGGAGGTGATTCAAACAAGTAATGCGGCGAAACTACTTCTTTACTTTACAAAATAGAAAAAGAAAATAAATAAAAAAAAAACAAGAAAATCTAAGAGTGTGAGAAAGAAAATTGTGAAAAATCCAATAAAATTGAAACAAGACAAAATCAATAAATACTTGCTTCGAAACAAGGCTTCATGGTTATTCTAGCTTTCCATGCATGCATCATGTCTTATTCTGTAATTCTTTTCAGACCCTTGGGTTTTTTAATGCAAAACTCAAAGCTATTTTAGAAATAATATTTTAACTTGCGTAAATTGTTATTGGAAACGTATAAATATGTGAGGATGTGTAGAGATTTTTATTAAAATTCTACAAAGAGACACTTGATTGACTTCTTCTTAAAATTGGCTATGAAAACTCCTTCAGACTGTGAACTCCTTTAGAGGATTTTTCCTTCAAAGTCGTCCAAGAAGACTAATCTTTGGACTGCTCAAAAAGATTTATTTGAGGCACCCTAGGAAACGGTCTCATATTGTCTAAAATAATTCTTTAGAACCCCTTAGTCTTTTACTAAGCCTCTCTTGGGTCGTCCGAATCTTTTTCATCATATTGTTATAGTCTCCTCCTTAAGCGGTCTTGCAGGCTCCTAACGGATGGTTTATAAACACTATCCTAAGATTTTTTATAAAGACTACAGTTCATCCGTCAGAGCTTCGACCGAGTGACCCATTGAGACTCCCTTAAAACAGTTTCTTTGCGCTGTCTTTAAATCGTCTACAGCTCCTTAATTAAGACCTCTTTACGTAGTTCATTAAAATACCTCTCTGAAGACCTTGAACAAAACTCCCTGCAGGTCATGAAAGACTTACCATGTCTGAAGATGTGTACCATCATTAAATGTTCCTAGGAAATGCTAAACCACCCTAATAACCATATTTGGTGAACCACCTTAATAAAAAACCAACTGTATTAACCCCCACCCATACGTATATTCTGGTTTAAAACGACATTCTGATTCGACGTTCACTGGTATGTTTGAGAATTATTTGTTCAGAATGGGGAAATAATTCTCATTCTCTCTACCTTGTCAGGTAAATATAAAATTAAGCTATTATGGTCATAGACCTCGAGTCCTGGAGTGATAAAGTAAATGGGAGACAGCGTCCGCAGTCATACAATGTTTTGCCGAACCTGGCCGAAACCTTCGACAAGCGATTCCCGTCTGTGATTCGTCAACTTTGTCTACTCTTAGGGAATTTACGATTGGTCTGCTTCGGCGATTCTTCGCTTTTTTCAAAACTTTCATCTCATGAGTGTCCTAGTATTTCCGTTGCCGACTACATTCATCCAAAAACCATTCGAACCGAAAAGCAAGTGGCATGGAGACGAATGGTATTACCCGAGTACTAAATCAGACTTCAAAAGCCCCAATATGTACAACGGACAGCACCCGAAATCATTCTACAATTTGTCGATCGGACCGACAAGACTTGAATACCATCAGAACAACTGCATGGATAGGAAACAATCACCATAACCCAAATATAATCGTGCTGACTAACGTTAACCCGACCACTACTACCCGAAAATCATTGAGTCTATTTCATCATCACCGTGTGCATCTGATAGCCGACTATCATTCAACAACCTATAACGTCAGGATACGTTGAGACGACCGAAAAATTAAAAGTCGAGCCGGGCGCTATCCATACATACACGCCGACTACTTTTACACTTATTACATTAACCCGAATACGTTAAACCGACCCCAACCGAAGTAGATTGAATCGAGTATCTTCAATGAAATTATGTTAGCCCAAATACGTAAAAGCTTCTATTATCCAACCGACAACCAAGAAACCGACAACTATTATTACAATGTCATGAAGTCAACTCTATCGGCTCGAATACATTTAGGCGGATATAAACCAGCCAAGCTCAGCTCGGATACGTTGGGTCATAATTCATTACCTGAATATCATCAAGGAGATTTGTAGTTGCTTGACTTCAACCTAGCTGCGACTGTATCTAAGCTCAGTCGTATGCACTGGTTTTTTTCTTTCTAGGTTTATCCTGCAAAATGATTACAAATATTTCTCTGGATGATCTGCAATGTCCCCTTGTAGTTTATTATAAGAACAGTAATACTCTTTAAATTAGTCCTTCTTCAATGTTTTCCATTCCACAATACCGATGTGTAAAGATCATTTAGAAGTTTCCTTTGTCTTAAACCACACCCTCGCTGACGTGTAAAAAGTACAACTTTTTACAACCCATAAGCTCTCCCTAAAGGACGTCTAACAGTTTGCTTTTGGATCGCCTAAAGAGACTAGCTGAAGGGCGACTAGTTCCCTCCAAAGACTCCTATCAGGTGGGTTTTGAACACTCCTTTTGGGTGGATTTTCAACCCTTTCCCTTGCAAAGAGATCACAATGAGTACGGCTAAAATACTCTCCTGGCTTTATAACGATACCATTCGATATGCACTTACTGTCTTACCGTCTGTACATCAAAATTCTTCTTTAAGGTCAAAATTTTCGTGATAAACTTTATAAACTCACCTATGTCAATTAGGCTTCCAAATTATTCAAAATTACATCCTTCGTGTTTTTTCCCAAAAATATAAGTAATTTTATCTTTGGCAGAAATAAAATCCAATTTTTGCTGCGACCAAAGGTCAGGATAGCCAATAAAAGGGATAAACTAATTTGCATTGGAAATTCATTGCTACCCTTCCCCCTTCTTCTCCCGCCTTTATTTTCCCAATAACAATTTACATAATTTCTGCTAAACTTCAAGATCCGAAATGGTCGTCTTCACCAAGCAAGCAAATGGGTTCTTCGAATTCAAAGATGAAGAAGAGGAACTAAAGAAAAAACAATGAACAGGATATACTTTGGGGGATATCAATGATGGGTAAAACGGAATATTTTAATATGTATTTCTGTCTAACGCACACTCACTGAAACATACACACACTTACACAGTTGTATACTTGGGTAGTGTACGAGTTTGTTTTTTGTTTTTCTTGTAAATAGTTTTGGGTTTTGGCTTCGTTCGCACTTTTATGGGGCGAACGCAACGATTGTACGTTAACATACCTGTTTAGTTTCCGGTCCATCCACTTCCGTTGGGATAGCAAACGCCCGTCCGTTGGGCACAGCTGGGGGACCCTCAGATTTGCTGCGGCGCGAAGGTGTGCCATTTCGTTCTTCCGACTGTAGATGGGGGGAGAAAAACAAAATAAAAAAGGATAAAAATTCACATTAACATCATTATATGAAAAGGAAACATCATGCATGCATGTCGTCCTCCAACACACACATCCACACACTCACACATATGTGTACAGTCGCATTTGGCATTTTCAACTTTTTTCTTTTTATTTTTCAAAATTAGCCTTTTCACATGAAATGAAAATAAAAATTAAAGAGAGAAAAAGCCAGCCATCCAAATGTTAAGTATGGCAGGCATTTAAATTTACAATATAAAGCAAAACTGGAAAAAAGCCCGGCTTCAACTTTTTTTGCTCATTTTAAAAAAGCCATGTCCTTTAAGCGTTAACAAGGCATAAATTTCATATTCACAGAAATAAAAAAAAACGAAACACAACAAATTACGAACATCAACAGAAATTCCAATTCTGTTTATGAAAAGGCAAATTTATGGATGAGAGAGGCCTTGTGTGTGTGTATGTGTGTCGGAGGCAGGCACGCACCCAGTTGATGTGGTGTCCTATACGGACGTGTCTTTATGCCATGATGGGCAATAAACACAAAGATATGTGTATATGTATGTGTGTAAGTAGGCTTGGGGCCACTGTAGAGATGCCTGACATGCCCGGTATAATGAGACAAACCTAAAAGCCACCGAACCGAATAACAAATTATGGGGGGCACGTAAGTCGACCCATTCGTTTTTATTTAACTTCTCGGTACCCCCCATAAACAATAATGAAATAATAAATACACAAACACACACATGAATATGGCCATGTGCTGTTATTCAGGTACACATTGGCTTAAATATTTTGTTATCCTACAGTGAACAAAAACAATGTTGTTTTGTTTTTACATGAAACTAAGTTTTTTTTTAATTGTAAACTTTTTTAGAAAAATATTATAAACAATTTGTATTAAAGTTTTCCAAAACAACAAAGTCACTAAAGTAGAAAAATCTGACCTTTCCATTCCAGCAATGGAAGCACATAAAAAAGGCATTACGTTCACATATACGATTTTTTACCCCCGACGAGGAAACAAAATATCTGGGTATTAAAATCATAAAAATTTGAGGCTACCACTAAACGAGTGATGCTCCAGAACCCCCAAATATGATTTACATTCAATATCCAATAAAGAACATTTATAATTCGACAAACACCCAAATTGGTTAAAAATTGTGTCAAAACCTTTCAAAAGCAAATAGTAGGGGAGTATTGAAAAATTCTATGCAGAACGATTATTTGGATTTAGAAAATCTGAGCAATTTTTAGATTTTTTGGTTAGATAATAAGACCTTACAAATACTTAAAATCGGGAGATACCGTTTGATGATGCTATAGGTATTTAAATAGGTATTTAAAACCAATATTTATACAATGATCGACTTTTGCTGGAATGCGTTCTTACTATGAAGGATTTTAAATATTAAATTTCAGCTACTTCATCTAGAAGGGTATCCAGGCCTTTAAAAATACCAATTTTGTCAAAATAAGAATTAAGAATTCTAAAATATTTGAAGGTGATTGCTTTTGACTCGAAAAGATTCGATAGGACGTGAAATGAACTTAACGAAAAGTCACAAAAGGTACGAAACATTGTATCAATGGTATTATTTTGGAACGAAAAGTACTAAAATATAGCGGTAGTAATTTTTGGCTAAGCCTAGAAATCAGAAATTAAATATTTAGATCACTCTAAGTGATCAGTGTGTTTGGAAATTCGTACTAAAATTGGGAAAATTATCAAAAAGCTAGTAAATATTTTAATATTGCAGAAACTGTCAGCCGTCTGTCCGTTCGTCTGTTGAAATCAACATACATCCCAAATGATTTGATTCAAACCTTTTTAAATTTTGGGACAATAGTTTGTATTGCACCTAGGATGGTTGGTATTAAAAATGGGATATTTCTGTCCACTTTTTCGTTATATAACTGTGCCATTCGATATTTGGTATTTTGATCATTTTAGCCACGATTTTTCACGAAATTTTTCCAAATTTGGTGTTTAAGGTTTTTAATGGGTTTTACCTCTGGTGGAGCATTGTCAATATATATATATATATATATATCCACGTTTTTCTATAGTCCCCATACGACGGAACCTTCAAATAAATTTGTATTAGGCCACATATCACATATCATCATAAATAGGGTTTTACCACACCCGACATTTGACATTTTCTTGATTCGAGCCACATAGATCCCATATAACTGTACCTATTTCTGATTTTTGATCATTTGTGTCACAATTTTCACGGAAATTGTTTAAAATTCGTAATAGTTACTACCTCCTAAGAGAGAAAATCTCCTGTAAATGTCCTTTGTATAGCCCCTATAAACGGTACGCTCAATATTCGGTATTTTGATAATACTAGTCACATTTTTCAACAGAATTATTCAAAACTTGTTATTTCCATTTCGTAATAGGCACCACCTACGCTGGCAGATAAGTGCCTATTCATGTCCACGGTTTAGTGTAGGCCCTATATAACTACACCCCCACGTTTTTCACCGGAATTGCCTCAAATTTGGAGTTTGTAATATAATGTACTTCGGTCTATCTTCCAAGAAAATTGACTATACAGGTCCATTTTTTGTACCTCACTATATTGAGTATTTTGACGATTTTTGCAACACCTTTTGAAATAATTATTTAAATTTTTGGAATTTGGAATTCGTATTGGGCGCTACTTCTTATGACAGATTGCCCATACAAATGCACGTCTTCGTGAAGCCCCCTTATAAGGGTTCCTCCAAATATTCGTTATTTTGATGCTTTTAGTGACATTTTTCAACAGAATTATGTTTTACTCTTTGTTTAGGGTTCGTAATAGGAACCTTCTTTTCTGGTATATAATTGAACAATTGACTATACGACCTTGAAGTAAATCGATATAGCGCAACTCTAATAAAATAAATATTGAGTGGATCCACAAAAAACCTTTACTACACCGAAAAACTCAGACATTTAGTTATCAATGATGAGATTTTCTCACTCGCCGTGATGAAGATTTTTTTATTTAAGACCTCAGTATCACTGGTTAAAAGTGCGAAGTAGAGTTGGGTCACTCCAGTTCATAGTTCAGTACACAAATTCATAAACGTATGAGTGTTTTCATATATTTTATATCACTCATACGCAGAGTTTCCTACGAACGACCGGAGTCTACGAAACTAGTTCGTTCGATCGAACTAGATTGACACAACACTAGTGCGAAGACCCCATTAAAGATCTCTACATTTTGTATTTACTAAAACTACAACTACTCGTTCCCACATTAGATACTTCCCCCCTTCCAATTAGCACAAGCAAGGAAAACCCCTTAACCTTAAGCTAACAAAGTAATGTCAGTAACGCTCATTTAAAATATCTGCATACACATTTACATGCATAATTAAATTAAAATTAAAATCTTGCACAAATTACATTCATTTGAAATGTCGAAAAAAGAAAACAACAACACCTCCTTTAGTTACTTGTTTGCGACATTCAAAATTCTTTTCAAAACTTCATTCCGGCAGGTAGAGCTGATGTTGATACTGATAATAATGAGGATGCCATGACGATGATGCCAGGTATAATGTCTCATTCAAACTTTTGTGTGTTTCCTGTTTTTGTTGTTGTATTTGACAGCTTTGCTGCAGTTGAAAAGACCTCAAGCCAAAATAACACTCTCTTCATAAATAATAAAACAACAACACCAACAATAATAACAATAACAATGAAATGAAATGAAATGCAAACAGAAAAACAAAACTAAATAAAGAAACCCAGACTTTTCCAGTAAAATGAGATGCATTCTTTAAGAATGAATGCAAAAAAAGAAAACAGTTCTTGAATTGCCAACAACTAAAAAAGACACTGAAAAAACCGAAACAATGAGGGGAAAAGTAAAAAAGCAACAATAACAACAAAAATATGACAATATGAAGCAACAGAAATAAATCATAAGTTAAAAAAAATTTAAATAAAAGCAAGTAAGAGTGGCATAAAGTTCATTCAGGTCGAAACATTAGTACCCTTCAAGAAAGGAGGTATTGTAGGGGGTAATTAAATTGTCAAACATCGTGCCTAATTGAGCCATAATTATGTAACCAAATCCCAGAATTAATAAAAATATTCTTCCAATGATTGTTAGCTTGGGTTAAATTTAGACCAAGGCAGGAAAGCCTTAGAAAATACTGGGTTGTCCAACAACCTCTGTTGGTTTCCAGGTCATTGCCAAATTCCAGACAATGAGGCTGCAGATGAATTGACTTGGTTGAATACGGAATCAGCTGTCATTGAAGTTGAGAACTCGGTTAAAAAAACCTTAATTCAGAGACACTACTTTGATATAGCTCAACAAAAATGGCTAGATGAAAGGCGATGTCATATCTCCAAGAGAATCTGGCATATATTCTCTGTCCTCTATTGTCCTTGTAGAAACGTGATCTAAAACTTGTGGTGGTCATCATCATGGGTCACTGCAGTGTGGAATGGAAATGGAACAGCGATGATTTTGATTATTTTAGAATCTGTTATTAACGTGAGATACTGGTTAGTGGGGGAGTAACTGTCACACGATCTGTCTTCATTCTCTAACACTGACCCTACAGTCATTCTTCAAATAGCCAGAAGACGACACGGCAAAATTTTGGCCCTGGATTGCCTCTATTATTCTTCATTTCTACAAATAACTTTCCTTATTCCCCCAACTCCTTTCTTTCTTCTATCGGCACTTTAAGATGAACGCAATTGACCAGGTGGTCTCTGAGCGGAGCGGTTACTGAAAAATCAGATAAAAAATTATCAATTTTTTCAAATATGAATAAATGTATGGATAATTTTCACAGCAGTGTTATTTTTTACTTTTCGCGGTGTATTGCCAAAGACATAAGACTATAAATATTGGACAAAATTCATGTTGCCGTTTGATATTTTGATCGAGCAATAAGTGGCTGACGACATAACATAAATTTATTAGGTGCATAACAGCAGTATTTCGAAATCGGCAAAAAATTTCAAAAATTATAGATATGGACTCTCAAATATATATTTCTGAATATTTTCATGTACATTAAATCAATGAAAATCAGTGAAATCCCTACAAAAATGTCAGCTCTGTTAGATTATGATTATGAAACATATTTTTACCGGAGTAGACATTCAAAACATTTGTCCGTTATAGAATCAAAATGTATACATTGAAATTGGAAAATCATGGCTCTCACTTAGATTTTTTACCCTTGTGAAAGTTACATATGGTTTGATATAGAAAGTACACCAGCACAGGGTACTTCTTTAAAATAAAGTGAAAACTGTCACATCTGTAGCTGTAGCAACTGGATTATGAATTTAAAAAAATAGCAACAAATAAAATCAACAGCTCAACATTCCATTCAATACAAAATATACAGAGACAACTCTCAGAAATTTACAGAGAAAATACCGAGAGACACAGTCATACTGTCGCATTGTTCGTGTTGCGATGACGACAGACACTCATTTTTAAAGCCGCAATACATTAAAAATCTCATCTTACAATCAGTGAGAGTGACGTAGTGTGAGCCAGTATGAGTGTGAGTGAGGCAAACGTCGGGCTGAATAGATGATGATGATGAGCAGGCTCTGATGAAGGATAAACGAATTGTTGTTGCTGCTGTTGTTGTTGAATGTGTGCAGAAGGCTGCTGGATGGTTGAATGACTGAATAATGTGCCGTTTCTTTGCTTTTGCAAAATATTTAAATTTGTTAAGAAAACAACAATGCCAGCCAAGATAGTGACAGAGCATGCTGGCGATGCTGTTGATAAGAACGTCACATTGTCAGTGGAATTAGACATTGTTGTAAATTTAAATAAGTGTTGTTTTAATTTTGACTATTTGCGGCTTTCTTCGGAAAACACCAGAAGATAAAATTCTTAGATAACAAGAAATTTAGTAACCTAATCAAAAGTATGTTGAGTGGATTATTTTGTAAGTAGTTCCCATAGGTAAACAATTGAGAATTGTTATTTTTATTATTATTTCATGTAATTTTGATTTGAACCATAAACCCAATAAAAACAACTTTTCCAAGGAGCTTTTTGCATCCAAAACCAAAAACATTTTTTATTTAAACGGTAAAATGTGATCCAACAGAAACGTGTACGTATTTATGATAGTTCCTTATATGAAAGCTATTAAAAAGTAGTGTCTGTATTGAAATTTTTATACCCTACACCAATTAGTGGCAAGTGTATTATGTCTTGGGGCATTTGTTTGTAACATGGAAAAGAAAGGGAGATAGACACATAGCTGCTTTTGAGGATCTTTATTGAATCACTTTATGAGTCCATTTATTCATGTCAATCCGTCTGTCAATGTATTCTTGTGAACAAAATGTAGGTCACATTTATTGAAATGAAATTTTCCAAACAATATTTGTTTGGCCCAAGGACGAACCCTATTGAAATTGGTGAGAACCGGTTCAAGTTTAGATGTAGCTCCCATATATATCTTCAACCGATTTTGGGTTAATTGTTATCCAAATGGCCAAAATCAGTCCATGTGAAATGAATTTTGCTACATCCGACCAAACTCAGTTTAGAAGCAAATACAACAAATTTGAAGAAAACCGGTTCTGATATAGCTATAGCTCCCATATATATGTTGCATTCGCTTGGGGATTTTAAGTTCGTCACATGCGTAATATGCACTCCACAAGAATGATATTTAAAAATACCTACCTTATACCTTAAAAATACCTATGTCAAATTCGGATCTGGTTTTGTTATAGTTTCGAAATATATCTTTGTTCCATATCAGGTTTTTTGTACACCAAATGACTAATATCAGCCCAAATGGACTGAATTTTGGGAATTCCTACTGAATTCATCCTAGGAACAAGTACTTCAAATTTGAAAATCGTTTCAGATATAGCTATAGCTCCCATATATACATATGTATATATATATGCGTAATATGCATTCCACAACAATAATCTTTGGTACCAGATATCAGATACATCTCAGAAATACATTTGGACATAGGTTCCATATATATATTTATCCGATTTCAGGTATTTGTGCACAAAATGGATTTAATTTTGCACTTCCGACGGAATTAAGCTTAAAAGAATGTGTTTCAAATTTTGGTGAAAATCGGTTCAGATATAGCTCCCATAAATATGTTTCATCCGATTTGGTGTTTTAAGTCCCTTGAAAGCGTAATATGTACTCCACAACAATGATATTTGACACCGGGCATCAGATACTGCTCGAAAATACCTCTGCCAAATTTTATGGAGATCGGTTTAGATTTTTATATAGCTTCGATATGCATCTTCATTATTCATTTTACGGCTATTGCTCAGCCCAAATTCAATAGATTTTTTTTCAAATTGGTGTAAGATATCATATAGTAGGTCCCGCTCGATTTATGACCTTTCCTTCCTGGTTTGATATGCATTAAGACGTCAAAACATTGAATTATAACCACTTTGGCTGGAAAATGTGGCTAAGACCTCAAGCACTTTGGAAACAGCCAAATTCTCTGTAAGTTTTTTTACCTATTGAAAATTTCTAGCAAATGTTTCTTAAACCGTTAAAAGTTTCAAATCAGAAGGTCATATGAGAGATATAAAAATCTATAAAAAATGTTTGAGAAAATATAGAGTTATTCGTTTTTTATACTTTTTCAAAAAAATAGTTATGTGGCGGACCCTGCTAAATCTTTCAAAAAATTACATACTAGATTTAAAACAAATGGAACAATACCGCGGCATCGGTTTCCCATCCTGTTATCATTCCTGGTCTAGCATAAATTTTGACTAACAAATTGCCATTGAGCTAATAAAATTTCTCATGGTATTTCAATTAACGTCAAACCCTTTTTGCCAACTATTCAACATTGTACACCTATGCAAATGATGGCCAGTGTAACTAACATGCCTCTGCCTGACAATAGTTTGAGTGAATGGACCCACAAGTACTAGGCCTATTTAATTATCTACGAACAAATGGATGGAAATACTTACTCTGGGCATGCGGTTGGCGGCATTGTTACGCGCATCTGTGTATTCGGAACCTATAATGAACTCGTGCGATTTGTAGGCCAATTCGGGGCATTTTTTTCTGCGTGGTAATGGTGGCTCATTCGTTGTACCTGAAATGAGAAACGGAGCGGGAAAAAAGGGGAGAATAATAAAAACATGGAAACACACAATAAATGGCAAGGGATAAATGTCATCGCAGGTACTGAAAATGGTACACACACTCTTAGTACCAAAGACACACGCGTATTTTATTTGCCGTAAAACACATATTCCTACATAGGAGACATGAATCAATCAATTTACATATTAATGGGGTTTGAGGGACAGTAGAACCCACCGCAAGGGGTTATTGAGGGACTCCCAGGGGAGGCTGTCATGATGTTTCTGTAATAATGTGGTTCAGTGAAGTAAGTTTTCGGTAAAGCTAAGATATAAAATTTCGATTTTTGCAATACTTCTGAAGGGGACGGGGGAAATGTTATGAGTTATTACTGTACTTATGCATGGGAAATGCCATATAATTAACATTAGGCAGTCCGAACTAACATTAGGCATGTTTACTTATTTGTGGAAGTGAAAAGTAAAGGGTAATGGAAAAATTTGGTTGAAATGCCAAATTTTTTGGCAATTTCCTTTGTGTTTTGATTTATTAGAAAAAACACAGGATGAGATGAAAAAACTGCAACCAACTTCTGACTGCTGTCATTTCTAAGCCACTCGTCCTACAGCTGTTAAAATTATTCCAGTGACAGCTCATTTTATTGTTTACAAGCGAACAAAAGCATTTTGGTGAGAATTTTCCAGAAAAAAGTTATTCGTGATAGATTTCAAGCGTGATAGCGTGATTTCTTTATATTTGGCTGGAAAACCGCAAGTGGCTATCGTTAGAGCACTCCAGCATTTAAATGTGAATAAATCTTTTGTGTCTCGTACCATCGCTCGTTACCGTGATACTGCTAGCGTAGCCCGACGTCAAGGGGGTGCACGGAAGAAAACAGCAACATCAGCAGAAATGGTTCGAAAAGTAGAAAATCGACTTGATCGAAATCCGCGTAGCAGTGGCCGAAAAATGGCTAGTGAGCTGAACATATCTCAATATTCCATTCGGCAAATATTGTAAAATGAGCTCGGGGTAAAGCCATTGAAATTCAAAAAAGTGCAAGAACTTACACCGCAACAGAGAGAAAATAGGCTTAAAAGAGCTATAGAGTTGTTTCGCTTGGCCGAAAGTGGTAAACTGCCGAATTTGGTTTTCTCCGATGAGAAAACATTCGTTGTCCAGCAGTTTGTAAATAAACAAAATGATCGTGTTTACTTGCCGAAGAGGTCAGTTGAAAATGTGCACCTTCGGTTGGCCACCAGAACTCAAGCGCCGGCCATGGTGATGGTGTGGGCCGCCATAACAGCCGATGGTCGATCTCCGCCCGTATTAATTGACCGTGGCATCAGAATAAATGCCGAATATTATCGCTAAAATATTCTGGAGGTCGTATTAAAGCCTTGGGCACGCAAACATTTTGGCAGCAGACTTTGGACATTCCAGCAGGAGCGGAGCACGATCGCACGCAGCACGCGCCACACAAGAATAGTTACAAAATGAGGTTCCTCACTTCATTTCCAGCGCACAATGGATCTCCGGATACCAATTTGTTAGACTTTTGTGTCTGTAGTATTTTGGCACTAAAAATACTAAAGTGTCGATCATCTCAAGCAAGCGCATCGCCAAGAATGAGCCAAAATACCGCAGAGCAACATTTGGGCAGCGTGTGACGGTTTCATTGGCCGTTTGCAGGCCATAATTCGTGCCAAAGGTGACCAATTCGAACAAATCTATGCTATTCTCGACTTTTTTGTTTTCATTCAATATTTTTTTTTTAATGTAGAAATTATGGCGTTTTACGTTGTTGCAGTTTGTTATCTCACCCAGTATATTGGAATTGTTTTGGATTTCAAATTTGGAACCAAATTTTGACGAAATGTATTTTTAGGCATTTAGACTATAATAAAAACACTTCATTTTACACATTTACCCAACCCCGAGGCAGTGATTTTCCTCAAAACGTTCCACCATGTTATTTTTACATTTGAAATGAAAATTATGAATGACATTTGCGATATTCTCTATGGTATATGCTGTACTTATACTCGTATATGAAACAATCCTCAAAATACACGTAGCTCCCGACAGCCAACAGCAGCGTCTTCCGTCAGATTATCTAATTCGATATTAATGAAAATGGACAATGGATGATCTTGAACTTACCCACAAATTGACTTGGATTTGGCGCTGGTGCTCGCCGTACCACTTCTGGCCTTGAATTACCAGTGAACTCATGCCAACGATAAGTGCTCCTATACTCCGAGTGGAGCTGTTGGATCCGGTCATATGAAACGAAAAAGAAGAAGAAAAAACAAAAAAGCAATGAAATATAAATCTATTTTTATTCGTTTCTTTCAAAACAAAACAATCTTTCATGGACACACCAACCAACAGCCATCGCCGTACTCAACAACAACCAACAAAAAACAAGGTGAGGAAAAAAGAAAGCAGAAAACTTCTTTGTTCACAAGAGCACCGTCTGTGCCGATGGCTGTGGTGTTGATGTATGAAAGGACATTTCCTTTGCCGGTATTAAATGTGTATTCGTCTTAGTCATGTCTTCAGTGTAATTTCAGCTAGAAAAAAGCCAAGGGAGTCAAGGGAGCCAAGGGTCGAAAAGTTAAGGTTTTCCTTTTGTATTTGACTTGGAAGACTCCAAATAATTGTGGGCTACAAAAACTAAAGGCCATTCATTATAAGTTTCCAAGTTGGTTTTACACTTCCCCCATTTGTTGGTCTTTCAAAGACGTTGCATACAGCTATCAATTCCTAGCAATTCAACACCAAGCCATGGCGTCATTAGGAGATAACTTTGGACGAGAAAAAAAAAACTTTTCAATTGCAAAATAATTGCACAAGGAAAAATTTTCCAGAGGTGGAGGGGTGATATTATAACAAAAGTTATAAATAAATGATGCCAAAAATCGGATTTATTACATTATGGTGAGTAAAGAAAACTTGAAGGAGATTTTGGAAAAACATATAATTTTTATGACTAAAAAACATACAAATCCAACACTTTATGTGAACAATAATATTCTTTGTCGAAAGAAGAAAAATCATTGCTTAAGATCTCAAATGGTTTGAAAATCTACTAACACCCCATTCCTTGAAAATTTATTACACACGCTTTCATTTCTTTGTATTTCTTCTCTCTTTCCAATAATTGCCCGCATAAAAAGTGTTAACCTTGAACTTCACATTTAACAATAAAAAATTCCCGGTAATGCGAACAAATATTATTTAATAACGTTAATTCATTAAAAATGCTTTCCTTCCACACTCGCACTCACACACACACATACAGACACATAATGCCACACATAATCATTAAGCAGATTACAATTTTAATGCGAAGTGGCAGCTACGCAATAATCAGAGGAGGACGTTTTGTTGCCACAACAATGGGAGGCCAAAAGAAATATATTTTTGGATATGCTTTACTTGCGAAGGTGGTTGCCAGACAGAAAACGAATGATACGAAGAAGCCAAAGCCATTTGGATAAACAATCGACAGCAATTACATAAAATTACGCAGAAATAACTCAAGGAAATATTAACGAGGATATTCGTACATAAATAAATATAAGTGAAATAACTGTTATGACTTCGAATTAATTTCGAGAATTACAGTGTTTGATAAGATTCTACGAATTTGTGTAGCAAGGTCATGCAAAGATGAATTTTTGGGAAAATATCGCTTTAAAACTAGAATCCATCCCAATGAGGTTTAACAGAAATCGCTCATTCAATAATTTGCCTTGGGACCTTTAGAAATAACAAACAACTTTGTGGCGAAACCTCCAATTAATGTAGAATTTGAGAGGCAACATGCATCTACTGTTAAAATTTTTAACTCAAAATTTAAAATAAATAACATCGACCTACAAGAATCTGAAAATTGTAGTTGGCAAAGACTTATTAATTTTTATAACTGTAAGCGAACAAAATTTCTTAAATCTGATAGTACTGGCATGAAAGGCCATACAAAATCTGGGGATTTATCTTAATACAAAACAAGTAAAAAACAGGTCTAAATTCGGCGAGGCCGAACTTTTTATAACCTCCACCAATTGGAACGAATTTGGCACTTTTCAAAAAAATAAAATCCGTTAAAAATTGAAAAAAAAAAATTAAAATCTTGAAAATACCAAATGTAGTCGTTAAATTATGGCCTTTGATACGGTCAACCATGCTACGCTGTTCGAGGACGTTGAGAATACCACCCTCCGGCCAAGTTTGAAGCGTTGGATAGTCAATTATATGTGTGGACGCCAGTTGTACGTGGAATTTCGGAACAAGAAGTGCGAGCCTCGTGAAGTGATACAGGAAGTCCCCCAAGGTGGTGTGATATCTCGGAAACTGTTTAACCTCTACATTTCCGGAATTCCGCGGCATCCAGACTGCATCGAAATCTTAACATATGCGGATGTCTCTACGATCATGATGTCGGATTTTGTAGTTGATGACAGGGTGAACAGCTATCTCGCGGAGCTTGCCGCCTTCTTCTATAGGCACTGAGGGTGGCGGATAAGTAAATATTGTTGACCTCTTACAAAGCTATAGTTCGGTCTGTGGTTAGCTATGCGGCTCCAGTGTGGTCAGCGAATTCGAGTGCAACGCAGTGGAAATGTATTTAGACCTGCCGCCCTGAGAACTGCAACAGGGTGTCTCCTCAAGACTCCTGTGGACTATTTACATGAAGAGACGAAGGTTCTTTCCTTACGTCAGCATAATCATATGATTTCGTTGCAGTACCTGCTTGGATGTTATCGTGGGAGTCATCCTAATCACCATATGGTGGACAGAGCTATCCCACCCAGACGTGTCATGACCATGCATGATCTAGAGAGATAGGTCTAGCGATATAAGATAGAGAGAGCCTCTTGAGCATTGAGCATATCAAGCGGGTCTGAATAGCATTCATACTAATGCAGTTGCAGACGTAGTTAATAATTACAGTATGAATGCCATCCTCGAAGTCCACAACCCATCCAAACCAGGACAATACGCTGCATTTATTCAATTGTCCAGCCAAGTCCACCCAACTCCGTACAGAGGATCTCTGGCTACAGCCCATAAAGTTAGTAGAATGCCTAAACCTGGACGTCGAAGAAGAAGCGGATTAACAGTCCATTTTCACTGTTACAAAAACAACAAAAGTACTGAATACTCTTGTTCTCGTCGTATTGGGCTAAAAGGATAATCTTTATTCGTACAAAAATGTACCTTGCACTAAATGGATATTAATAGCTACTTCATGAAACACATTGTGTAAAGGAAACGTCCAATGTCCTATGGAGGTTTCTAGCATGATTTAAAAGATTAGATCCTGATAATTTGCAAATGGGTCAGTGCTGGTATGTAGGTGTAAAATAAGAAGGATTTCTCCCATCAAATATACATGGACATGGATATACATGGATTATAAAGAAACGTATTTGGTGTGAAAAGGCGAGAGAAGACATTAAAGCTGGGATTTAGTGTTTAATTGGACGGCATTGTTGTTAAGGTATGGGTAAAACCCTAAATGAGGTTCACTCTCCATGGAGACGGGCAACTATATTATTATTATAATATTATTGAGTTTAAAGGTGAAATACGAAAGACTTTTTGAAAATTTATATTTAAAATGCAAGAAAAGTACAAAATTACATTTTAGATATATTCCGAAATTTGTTGTACAGGTTTCTAGTGGCACGAAAAATACTAAATACTGAATGTGGTAGTTGAATGCAATGCACGAAATTGATATATAGAGTTGAGATAAGGTTTTTTACAAATTATTATTATAATATCACTTGACCTAGTATTTTTCTAAATTTGGTAGGACTTAAATACGATTTTTTTGAATGGGTTGTGACATTGCAAATCATAAATACTCTGGTAGCAGTATAAGAATCTCTATTTTACCATTTAATGTTATTAAAAAAAATAATAAATATGTTCTAACCTCAACTTAACCATTTATTTAATAACGTACGGTTAAATTTAACCATTTCGAGAAATAGCTAACTACACCCAAACTCTCAAACGCCAATGGGTATTGCGGTAACGTTGCAAAACACAATTTTCTTTGGCTGTAACTACACGTAAAAGTTGCGTGACTTACTCCCCTTTCTTTTCTCTCTCTCTCTCTCTTCCTCAATATTTTAACCATGTTAACTAACAAAGCTGTGTTAATAATAAACGCAATTAAGTTTAGCTGTAAGTACTTCACCTACTTCGCTGCCTGAATAATTTATTGCATAAATAACGTTACACCCACACGTTTTTGTGGGCCATGGTGTTACTGGCGGAGTTTACCCCATCGCCGTGGTGTTAACACACAACAAATCAATTCAATCCAATCCAATTCGATTCGATTAAAGTGAAATTATTAACAGTTCTTTGATTGCACATCGACGGTTTGCTGAAAGGTAAAAATATTTCATAATTTTCATGTGATCGGAGGGAGGAGTGATAAATCACTTACATCAGGATTTTTTTTTTTGGGTGTTTTCTTTTTTTTCCTTTTTCAGGATGACTCGAAAAGTCTTTGTCTTGTCATCAATTATTGTTGATTTAAGTGAAAAGTCCCTGTCAACCCTTTCGAGAGAAAATCTCTTCACACAACTGTTCTTTGACTACTTCCATTTATTTCGATTTTCTTTCTATTGCACAGCACTCACAGACGGCAGGGCCAATGAAAGACAGAAGAGAGCAAGGAAAAAATCACACAATATGTGAAAAACAAAAAACGAAAGAAAAAACTGGGAGAAAAGACGATTTCTTGCCCCCAAGTTATTTGGCAAACTATCAAAGGGCGTCGCACAAGGAATTCACCAGAAACTTTCCTCAAAACATACTCACACGAATACTCACACCAACAAATGGTTGGAAATATCATGGAATGAATGAATAAATGTCTGCTCGATTGTCTGTCCATTGGCTTGGTCTGTGTGTCATTTCTATTTTGTCACACACAATGCAATGCAATGCTATTTTAAATCCTATCCTATATCCTTTTATTTATATTTTGTAATACTCTACATGAACAGACACTTCCTTGCCTGGCTCAGAATAGAATAGAACAGAAACAGAAAAACAATGACTGAAGAAAAAGAAAACAACAACAATAACCACTAACCTCTTTAAATAGTGGAATATCCTCACTTTTTGTGGAAACATTTCAAAAAGGAAACTTTAAAAGAAAAATACCGAATGATAATCAATATAGGAAGACGACTGCCGTTTTTTTTTTTTTTTTTTTTTTTTTGCAAGCCCCAG